ATTTATTATGGTCCAAGTCTTTACCCTTAGCTTTGCAAACCCAGAAACTTTTTTTTTGCTTGTTTATTTTTTCCCCCTGCTTTGCTTTGTTTTATTTTCAGCAAATCAAAGCTTGATTTGTCCCTCAGGGACACACTGAAACTACATTCACAAAGTGAGTGAATCCAGAATGCCAACTTAGTAATTTGTAAGGAGAAGTACTGAAGACAGCAATGAGAACCTTGAAATACCATGGCCTTAATGATCCCACAGTTATTGATCCTTGATAATCCTCAGTTATTACATGGGAAGCTGAGATGTGGCTTGAAGGCCTGCTATGGATGTGTAATAAGAAGTTGCTGCTGGGGCAGGTCCCATGATGTAGTAGTGGTTTGATTTGGCACGCTCCACTTTGGTGGCCCAGGTTCTCAGGTTTGGATCCTAGGCATGGACCTACACCACTCATCAGCCATGCTGTGGCGGCGTCCCACATACAAAGTAGAGGAAAACTGACTCAGATGTTAGCTCAGGGCTAATCTTCCTTAGCGAAAAAAAAAAGAAGAAGTCGCTGCTGCAGAGACCAATGTTCAGGGTCCCCATTGCCAGCAGGTTTCCTCCTACATGAGACTGCACATCATAATCCCTTCATGGTCTGGTGTTGAATGCTCAGGTAACAGGGTCTATACATCCCTCTCTAGGGACTCTGCTGGAAGTGCCCTGCTGGCGTCAGAGAGGGCCTGAGAACTTCCAATTGCTGGGTAGCGGGAAAATGCCTATGTAGGCTCTACGTTGTTTTCAGCTGTCCTTTTTTATCTTTCAAACGTTGGCACCTGAGCTGGCATCTGTTGCCAATCTCGTTTTTTTCTTCTTCTTCTTCTCCCCAAAGCCCCCCAGTACGTACAACAAATATAGTTGTATATATTCTAGTTGTGGGTCCTTCTGGTTATGCTATGTGGGACGCCGCCTCAGCATGGTGTGATGAGTGGTGCCATGTCCATGCCCAGGACCCGAACCGGTGAAACCCTGGGCCACCAAGGCAGAGCATGCAAACTTAAGCATTCGGCCGTGGGGCCAGCCCCCTTTTTTATCTTTTAAAATGGGTATATTTCCCATCTCTTCCGTAATAGAAATCTGTCTTTGTGTTAACAGTAAATAGTGCTTAATTGCTAATCAATTAACTTGCTTAGTATTTTCCTTACAAAATCTCAGTTAAATGGGCATTTCAGGGAGATGGAACAGTATTTACCCAGTGTTTCTTCATTCTTGTGACTCTCCGTTTGGTGGTCATGGCCATCTCACAGTAAGTGTGGTCTTGTCCTGGACCTTGTAGGGGTTCTGGAATGCTCTCAACTGAAGAGGCTTCTTCCCCTCCCCTCCCCTTCCCTTCCCTTGAGCTCTTCTTGCAGGCCCAGGAACCCTTCTCCCTCCAAGTGACCACCCAGTTCTCCACTCAGTCTGTCGTGTGTGCATTTGGAAGTATGTCTCGGGCCCCGCTCTGGCCTCACCTCCAAATTACTAGAGAAAGCTCCACTCTAACCTCCATGGCTGATGACAGTCACCGTTGACACACAGCTGCAAATGTGTATTATAACCTGTGTTAGAATTACGGGGAACTTTCCAGTGTTCAAAGTCCTTTTTCATATGTTTTTATTTGATTTTCCCAATAACCTTTCAAGATTATAAGGGCCATTTTCACAGATAAGGAGTGATGAGGTACCTCAGATGACATAGTGAGTAACCAAGGTTACCACAGGCCCTTTGCAAAAATACTAGGCCAGCTGGGGTAAGGGTAGGGAATGGCATGTTGGAGGGTAGAGTAGAAAACATATTCCATATTCCTCTTCATGCCATGGAACAGCCTTCTGCGTTATTAAACGGAACCCCTAGCTTCCCCATCTGAAGATGTGCCTTTGCTTATTTCATCAATGTCTTGATCAACCCTAAGCATAGTATCTGCATCAGAGACAAGTCTGCCCCAGAGGCAGATTCATTCTTCACTCTGAAGGGCTTGTTGCTCTTGACATCAGCCAGTTTTTCCATTTCTAGCCAATCAAGAGTTCAGATATTGATAGCCATCTAGCCTCAGAGAAATTTAAAACTAAATTAAGGACTTTTAAAAAATCTTTATGTGTCCAATTTTTAAAGGCTCTGTTTCACTAGACAGGAAGTACCAGAATGACCACTGCAGTACCAGGCCCTTGGAAGCTCCAGGAAACTTGAACCCATGGCTTCTGACCCAAAGCCCCGTCTTCTCCTCAGCATCATGCGCTTCCAGCTTGCATCATCTGGAAGGGAGAAGAGAATGAACTGCATACTCTCCCTGCTGCTGACTTCAAATAAACCACAGAGCTACTCAAGTCCCAAGAAAGCTCAAGTACGAAAGTGCCCTGGCAGCCCCCTGCCCTGATGAGTTTCTATATCGGGTGTTTTTTCACCAGCTCTGGAGTAGTGACAAGGGCTTGGCAGGGATGTGGTTCTTCACATGCGAGATTTATTCTGTTTCTTATTAAAGAAATTCTTCAATTCCCCACTCTTTTCTTGGCACAGTGTGAGGGCTTATGATCTGAATTCATACACATACACACACACACACTCACACTCACTCTTAACTCATGGGTGTAAGATGTTTCTCAGTTTTTACTTGTTATCCCTCTTTGCCTTAAACATAGGTGTTACCTCTTAAATTTCCTGATTCCAATTCCTAGCAAAATTTGGTGCCTTATGAATGTGTAGAGTAATTTTAATAAAATGTGAGTACAGCACCCCTGTGTGTTCTGAAAAACGTTTCCAGAGCCCCTTGAGACTTCTAAACGCTGGTGGAAGACAAGGCTTCCTGCAGAGAAAAGGAAAATGAGAGAACAGGATATGATTGGATCAGTTAAGTTTACTATGATTTGAGCATGAAAAATGCTTTCTTCTTTCTGTTTTACTTCTCACGTGGCTACACAAACCCGTGCTCCGTGAGTCACTGGGCGCAGTCGGCTGGCTCGGCACTCCCCACTGTGTGGAGTGGGACCTGATTGGGGGGCTAGCCCTCCTGAAGGGACTTCTTATTTCATTAGCATTACAGATAGAGTTCTTGGGAATGACATTCTTTGGTAATTTGTTTACAGTTGAACCTTCCTTGCAGATTCCTACTTCCTTAATCTAACAATTGGCTAATTCTTGAAATTGAAAAAAAAACCCGCCTAGGCTATCAGTCTGCTTGTCATTGAGGACTTTGCCTTCAAGAGCTGGAATGAGTACCGTGTTAATTCCAGAATGCATTTTTTTCCCCAACAGCAATGACTGGCATATCATGCACTTTTCTCATGATTAATTAAAATCAAGCTATCCATGTAACTAAAATAAACAAAAGAAGCCCATCTTGTGATTCTGACTTAATTGCTTTTTAATAGCACTGATTTTTTTTGCCCATTTTCAAAATTTGCTTCTCTGAAGTAGTTTTCCCAGTCATGAGGGAAAATTAGTCTGTTGACCCTTTTCCTCGGAGGCACTCCCATTCCTGTGGAATTGTTTGTCATTGTCCAGCAGCTGCTTGAGCGTCCACTTGTCCTTAACTGCTTAAATGCTTTTAGCCATGGCTGAGCTCCAAAGATTTCTTTCTTTAATCTTCTTTTCCCACTGATTTCCCATTTAAGACAGATGCCTTTAATTATACGAGCAGATTATCCACAGCTTTGGTGCACTACGTTAAGTGCTGCAGAGTAAAGCAAATTTTTAAAAGGTATTGGCTCCGTGGAAAGTGTGTCCATGCCAATAGCAGCGTGTTTAACCACGTGAATGCGGGGATGCTCTACAGGTAATGAGTGCTGGCATGGAGGGACCTTGTTGTGGGGCCACTGACAGGTCCCTACCCGGCTACAGGCAAGACTTTTCCACCCTCTTGACCTTTGGTATTAAACGTGACTGATCTGGTCCAGAACTGTTTCCCTAGGGCCAAAGATGCTTTATCTGCCTGCCCCAGCCTTTTGTCCAAGTTAGTATCAGTAGTATCTCCAGTTTAGTAACTCTGAATGCACTCAAACCACACTTTGACTGTTTCTGCAGTCTGCACAAGCCCATGTGTTCCCGAGTTCTCTGGGAACGTCACCTCTTTGCTGGCATGTTCTCCAAGTCCAGGGAGCCTGCCTTAAAGGCTCCCGGATGATGGGTTCTGCTGAGCCTGATCTGCCCTTTCCTGGCCCTTTCTGTCTCTAGTGGCTCATACTGCAGCATCTTCAAGGCACAGGTATCAGTCCTGGCTTTTAAAAAGAGCAATTCACCACCCTTGCAGTCTTGTGTCTGTCTATAGAGACCACACTTGAGAAGTGCCTTATTGTGATCAGCCTGTGGTTTGTAGGCTGGGTCCCAGAATCGGCCTTATTCAGAGGCAGTCAGAGGGTTCTTTCAATACTGCTTAAAGTGAAAGGAGAGAGCCGACAGGCTCAGGTTCCCGTTGCTGCATCCCTCACCCCGCACTAGCCTGCACCACTGTCACCTGTGTCATTCGGAGACAGGCAGGGTGAGGGACATGAATGCCTCTGTCCAGGGTAAGGGAGAGCAGTCAGTGGGGTAGTGCCAGGTTCCAAATAAGCTTTGTGAAGAGTTGCAGAAGTTCCACGTGCTTGCTATAGGCAAAGCAGAAAATGAGAAAAGAGCAGCAACACACAGTTGGTTCCACCCCTCAGAAATAACTACTGTGGTTTGTGAAAAGCACATCTATAGAGGTGTATCTGCATGTGAGAATAAATGGGATTTCACTGTTTGAAAACACAGTTTTTTTCCAACATGTTAGGAAGATGTTCTCAATATGTTACTTTTTGCTGGAATCTTTCATCTTTTAAAACGTAATTCTGTTTGTCCTTTTCTGTTTCCTTAAGTCCCATTGTCACTTTATGTCAGAATAGGCCAGCACCTTCTGCAGATAACAGGTTCATCTAGAGTGTCCATCCTGACAGGACAGTCTGCTTGTGCTCTCAAGGGGCCTTGCCATGGCTGATCTGGGTTCATTGTTCAGAAGACGATCTTTCTTTCTTCAGGTGTCAGCGGAAGCAGTGGCGGGTGGATCTGCCAGCTACCAGCGTGGTGATCACGTTTCACAATGAAGCCAGGTCAGCCCTGCTGAGGACAGTGGTCAGGTGAGGCCAAGAGATGCCACCTATTGCAGCTTATGGGAGACATTCCCTGGCAGGGATGCTGCATGTGGGCCGTGTTACCACTGCAGCCAGGCCTGGGCTGTCTTTGGGGTTACAGACAGGTCACCTGACTGTGCAGCACAAGGAATGGCTGATGGATCCACCAGCTAAGAATTGGGGCCAAAATAGGAGAATTCTCCACAGCTGGTGGTACCCCTAAGAGGCCTACAATCTTTATCTTTCTTTTCTTTTCTCAGCGTGCTTAAGAAAAGCCCACCCCACCTCATAAAAGAAATCATCTTGGTGGATGACTACAGCAATGACCGTAAGTACTGGGACTGATTTCTCCTGGTATCTGGCCTTTCTCCTGGGCTCCAACCTTCCTGTAGTGTAGGTGCTAATGAGTTTCATGAACAGGCCAGAAATCAGGGCCACAGAGAGAAGATGCCCCAAGGAGATCATCAGCCCATAGATGATGCATAATCACCGTGCTTGAATACAATGCCCTTCGTAACTTGAGCTTCAAAACGCTCTGCTGTTTTTTTTTCCCCAGCCGAGGACGGGGCTCTCTTGGGGAAAATTGAGAAAGTGCGGGTTCTCAGAAATGATCGACGAGAAGGTAAGACTCTTTCTTTAATTCAGTACCAAGACAGTTAAATTCTGAGTTTTCTTGAGCCCAGTAATAACTTAAAGAAATATTTCAGCTAAAAAAACAATTGCCTGTCTAGTTTTTTTGTCTGTCTCCCTCTCCCAGAGCCTCTTGGGAGCCTCTCTCCGCAGAGCATGGGAAGGACTTTCAAAGCTTAACTAATTGAAACTATTTATATACGAGGGCAAGAGTTCAAATTACATTTTTATTTATGTATTTAGAAAATTGGCTTCTCTTTCTCTTTCAAAACCTAGGAAGTCTTATCAGTCCCTTGAGTACTAAGATTTAGCAGTAAGAATTTTAATGACTCTATGTTCCAGGCATCTGATAAAATAACCAGGATTCAAGTTTGACAATCTGCTGAAGGTGAACCATCCCAAAACAGAGAGAGAGCACTGCAGTTGCGTGCTTAGGGGATTTTGCAAATGCCAGCCTCAGAACCTGCTGTTAGTCCTGTCTGCCAGAGCTGGCCTCATCGAGGCTACTTTATTGGCAGTTATAAGAGAGACTCTAGAGGGGGAGAGTATTACTTTGAAGTGTCTGGAAAGGAAGCTAAAATCATAATGGCAAATTAACCTCCACTGCATCAGTGCCATTAGGGAGCTTGGTGACAGATTCTAGTTTCCTCTATAGTCCGGAGAAATCTTTCCATATAGGAAAATTGTAGAGCTTTAAAACATGTGCCATTTTTACTATTTGAGGATGTCTCTATTGATCCTGGAGTGGTAGCTGTAGTCTTTGATCAATGTATATACTCTTTCTTCTGGTTCCCTATGCAGTCCACCTGGAGTTAAGGAACACAATTTTTCTTAGCAAGAATCTGATCAGTGGGTCAAACAATTGAACCTGTTAGGGCAATGTCATCAGCATCACATCTTAACCAACTAAGATCATCAATCCAGGTGTTCAAGATACATAAACGATGGAATCAGCCTTGCCTCTAAGCAAGCTCTGTTTGCTGGACTCAGATCTGTCTCACAGGCTTAGAATAAACCAAAATCTCGAGATCAAACCAAAATATTGCGTTATATTTGCCCCTAAACAAACTACATAATAACTTTTTAAATTTAAACCCAAAGTGTCTTCTGGCACAAGAAAAGAAGAAGAGGAGGAGGAGGAGGGAAAAAAAGAAATTATTTTTCACGTTGACATTTTGTAACTGAGGAGTCACTTGCTAGCCTTATCAGAGAGTGCCTTTAACCTGCTTAGAAAGCAAAACATGCTTCTAAATATGAACTTTCCATTTGCTTTAAGTGAGGATGTTCATTTGGGTGAGAACCCGTATTTGGGAAGGGATGAGGAGGGGAAGTTGTGGAAAGCCAGATGATGGTAGGCTTGTATGAAACAAGTGAAGCATGTGGTAGTTGAATGAGAAAAGTCACACACAGAGGAACATATGTACTTGTGTATGTATGTGTAGCCCCTAAATTTAAACACATACACAAGTGCTTTTAATGATGCTATTAGATGACAGATATCAGTTGCATAAAATACCACAATCATGAAGGAGCAGTGTTAGGTTCATTTAGTGCTGAGATTTTATTGTGCCTATGAATCTTATTCTAGCTGTTTATTAGGATCAGCTGGGGAGCTTAAAAGATCACCATGCCTTGACCTTGCCCACAATTGAATAAAAATTTCTGGATTTCTAGGTGTGGGGCCTGGGCATCTGCATTTTTTTAAGATGCTTAGATAATTCTGATGTACTTTGGATGTTGAAAACCTAGTCCTGGGGCCGGCCCAGTGGCGCAGCAGTTAAGTTCACATGTTCCACTTCTTTGGCCTGGGGTTCGCTGGTTTGGATCCCGGGTGTGGACATGGCACTGCTTGGCAAGCCATGCTGTGGTAGGCATCCCACATATAAAGTGGAGGAAGATGGGCATGGATGTTAGCTTAGGGCCAGTCTTCCTCAGCAAAAAGAGGAGGATTGGCAGCAATTAGCTCAGGGCTAATCTTCCTCCAAAAAAAGAAAGAAAGAAAGAAAGAAAACCTAGTCCTTCTCTCTCTTTTTACAGATGGAGATATTAAAGTCTAGAGAGGTTAAGTGACTTTGTCAAGGTCATGCAGCTATTTAATGACAGTAGTAGGGCCAGAACCATGTTGATAATCCAAGTTCTGTCTTTGTCCCACGTGCTTGTGTTCCTCTGTTTCAGTGTCCGCCTGCTTTTGGATTAACTGATTTTTTCCCCGGTTTTATTGAGATACAGTTGACATATAACATTGTATTTGTTTAAGGTGTACAGCATAATGATTTGATATATGTATATATTGTGAAATGATGACCACAATAAATTTACTTAATATCCATCACCTCACATAATTACAAATTTTTTTCTTGTGATGAGAACTTTTAAAAAAGATCTACTCTCTCGACAACTTTCAAGTATACAATACAGTGTTATTAACTATAGTCACCAGGCTGTACACTACATCCCTAGGACTTCTTTATTGTATAAGTGAAAGTTTGTACCTTTTGACCCCCTTCACCCATTGCCCCCACCCCCCAAACCCCCACCTCCAGCAACCACTGATCTGTTCTGTTTTTATGAGTTCAGCTTTCTTAGATTCCACATATAAGTGAGATTATACAGTATTCATCTTTCTCTGTCTGACTTGTTTCACTTAGCATAATACCCTCAAGGTCCATCACATTTTTGCAAATGGCAGAATTTGTTTCTTTTTTTGTGACTAAATAATATCCCTCTGTGTGTGTGTGTATCAATCACATTTTCTTTATCCTTTCATCCATCAGACACTTAGGTTGTTTCCATGTCGTGGCTACTTACTGTAAATAATTCTGCAACAAACTTGGAGATGCAGTATCTCTTTGAGACAGTGATTTTGTTCCTTCGGATGGATGCCCAGAAGTGAGATTGCTGAATTATATGGTAGTTCTATTTTTAATATTTTGAGGGACCTCCATGCTGTTTTCCATAGTGGTTGCACCAATTTATCTTCCCATGTTCACAGTGTACAAGGATTCCCTTTTCTCTACATCCTCACCAACACTTATCTCTTGTCTTTTTGGGTGACAGCCATTCTAACAGGTGTGAGGTGATATCTCATTGTGGTTTTGATTTGTATTTCCCTGATGGTTAGTGATGTTGGGTACCTTTTCATGTATCTGTTGGCCATCTGTATGTCTTCTTTGGAAAGATGTCTATTCAATTCCTCTACCCGTTTTTTAATAGTTTTTTGATTTTTGTTGGGGTTTTTTTTTTTTTTGCATTGAGTTGTAGGAGTGCTTTATATGTCTTGGGTATTAATCCCTTATCAATTACATGATTTGCAAATCTTTTCTCCCATTCAGTACGTGGCCTTTTCATTTTGTGGATGCTTTCTCTCACTGTGTGGAGCTTTTTAGTTTGATATAGTCCAATTTGTTTATTTTTGCTTTTGTTGCCTTTCTGTTGGTGTCAAATCCAAAAGATTGTTCCCGAGGCCTATGTCAAGGAGCTAACCCAAGGAGCTATGTTTTCTTACAGGATTTTTATGGCTTCAGGTCTTACATTCAAGTCTTTCATCCATTTTTGGTTGATTTTTGTACATTGTGTAAGACAGGGGTCCAGTTTCATTCTTTGGCATGCATGTGGCTGTCGAGTTTTCCCAACACCATTGATTAAAGGACTGTCCTTTCCCCACTGTAGATTCCTGGCTCCTTTTCCATAAATTAATTGACCATATATGTGTGGGTTTATTCCTGGGCTCTCAATTCTGTTCCATTGATCTTTGTGTCTGTTTTTATGCCAGTACCATACTATTTTGATTGCTATAGCTTTTAATATAGTTGGAAATGATTTTTTTTTTAGTATCCATTTTAATTCTTGTAGCTTTTTAGCTTTACATTTGTTCTTAGTGGTGGTTCTGAGGATTCCAACATGCATCTTTAACTTACAACAGACTGCTGAGAGTCAGTGTCCTACCACTTTACATAAAATGTAAGAATCTCGCAGCACTTTAATTCCGTTTCTATTTCCTGTCCTATGTGCTATTATTATCCTATGTTTTCTTCCACGTTTTAAACCCCACAGTGCATGTTAAAATGTTTGCTTTAAATAATTACTTATCTTTTAAAGAAATTAAGAGAAGAATATATATATAGAAACTGTTAGATTTATCCTCATTTTCATTTCAAGTATCTCCATTTCTTTCCACATATTCCATCTAGTGTCATTTTTCTTCAGCCCAAAGAACTTCCTTTAGAACTCTCTTTCTCTTGTAGGCAACAAAATCTCTCAGCTTTCGTTTATCCGAAAAGTCTTTCTCCTTTATTATTGAAGAATATTTTCTCTGAATAGAATTCTGAGTTGACCATTAGTTTTTATTTGAGCCCTTTAGAAATGTCATTCCAATGTCTTATGGCCTCTAATTTCTGTTTAGAATGTAGTTGTTATCTGCTTTGTTGTTCCCCTGTATCTTAGGTGTTGTTTATTCTGGCTGCTTTCCAAAATGTCTCTTTATCTTTGGTTTTTAGCAGTTTAATTTAATGTGCCTAGATTTAGTTTTCTTTGTATTTATCCTGTTTGAGGTTTGCTGATCCCTTTGAATATGTAATATATCCCTTTGTTTTTCTACCAAATTTGGGAAATTATTGGACTTTTATTTCTTGATGTATTTTTTTCTGCTTCATTCTTGGACTACAGTTGCACATATATATTGTCCCATAGGTCAATTAGACTATTTTTTCTCTCTCAATATTTTTCTCTCTGCTCACCAGAAAGATAATTTCTATTAATCTGTCTTCAAGTTCACTGATCTTTCTGCCATCTACAATCTGCTCTTAAACCCAGTCAGTGAATTTTTCATTTTACATAGTTGCAGCTTTCAGTTCTGGAATATTCATTTGATTCTTTCTTATACTTTTCATTTCTCTCTGAGATTCCCCCATCTGTTCACTCATTACAACCATCATTTCCTTTGAGTTCTTGGACATAGTTATTATTATAGGTGCATTAAACTCTCATCTGTTAACTCCAACATCTGGGTCATCTCAGGGTGAGTATTCTATTGGCTTTTTTCTTCTTGGGTATGGATCACATTTTCCTATTTCTTCTCATGTTTAGTAATTATTTATTTTATAATGGACATTGTGAATGATATGTTGTAGAAATACTGGATTCTGTTATCCTTCTCTAAAGAGTGTTGATCTTTGTTATATTGGGCAGTTAGATTACTGGCTGATGACCTTGAACTTGCGTAGACTTGTTTTTGTACTTTGCTCGAATGAGTATATCTTGGGAGAATCCATTATTTTTGAGACATAGTCTGTATTCCTAAGTGTGTTCCTTCTGGAGTTTCTGTAGAACTGGGTGTTTACCAAACCTTTCCAACTTGACGGGACTCAAGTTGCAAACTTTGTATCTCTGCAGTGGATACCAGCTGAAATCTCAGTTCTTTCTGCCTTCTAACTGCTTCTTTTCATGGACTCCTTGGGGTCTCCCCTGTGTCTGCAGATTCAGGAGTCAGCCACGGATTTAATGGGAGGTTATCGCCAGATTTTGGACTTATATCCTTTCCAGCATCTCTTGCAGTTCCCAGCCACTCTAGAAGCTCTGAATTCTGTCCTCTGACATCTCAGGCCAAAAAAGCTGCATTACAGTGGATTGGAGAGTAACCTCAGAGGAAGTGCCATGTAAACGTGCATTTCATTCCATGTGATTTCCTTCTTTTAAGGGTTGAATCCCCTCTAGTTCCTTCCTGCTTTTGGCTACTCTCTAGCCCTTTCCACTGGTTGCTTTTTCTATTTAGCTCAGAGTTTATGATTGTTATTTGAGCAGGGCTTTGCCTAATACAAGCTACTTTGCAATAGTAGAACTAAAAATCTTTTGGCTTTTTCCCTACTGTAGCATGCAGCTCTGTGAGAATCACTGAAAACCCATTTTGACTACTGTGTAAAAAGAAACTTAAAACTCTTGTCCTCACAACTAGAAGGACCCACAACTAAGAATATACAACTATGTATATTCTTTGAGGAGAAAAAGCAAAAAAAAAATCTAAAACTCTTGTCCTCACTGGTTATGAATAGTAGCATCGTCTTCATATATAAAGCCCAGCACACACAGCAAGAACAATCTATGACCACGTCATCTAGGGGTAAATATACTACTTATGGCAAGATTTCATGTGATAGTGAAAAATGTATATTATTAACAGATCACAAGTATATAAATTGTGTAATTTGACCAATAGGGTAACTAATTTTGTGTAAAAGCTAAACAACTGGACTTTGCCATTTAAGTTATTTGGTTTGTGATAAATCTTAGAAGACAAAGATATTTGCAACACTCTTACCATTAAATTATTGCCGTTAAAATTAGTATCATTAGCACTTAAAGTATGTAGGTGACGGCTTCTGTAGCCCAGTTAATTACAAAGCTCTGTTGCTGTGTCAGAGGAAAGTAATTTTAAAAGTTCCACATTTTGGTTGCTTGATAAATGTAAAGGCCTTTCTTAGAAGACAGTAGTTCTCAGAAAGTTGTCTTCCTAGTCATCTAATTACCTTTAAAAAAAAAGTTCTGACACAACTCTGTGTTGGTAACCAAAGGGCAGTACTGACCCTCCCACACAAGTCTGCCTCAAATCTGCCTGGCAGGAGGGCTGCCGAGCCTGAGGGGAGGTGTCATGCAGGCGCTGGGTGTGCCATTCCTGCATTTTTCTCTCGGATCTCTCCCCTGATGTGACTTGAACTCACTTCCACAGGCCTGATGCGCTCTCGAGTCCGGGGAGCCGATGCAGCCCAGGCCAAGGTCCTGACGTTCCTGGACAGTCACTGCGAGTGCAATGAGCACTGGCTGGAGCCCCTTCTGGAGAGGGTGGCTGAGGTGAGGCCAGGCCCATGTGTGGTTTTGTTTGATGCTGAAAAGGGGAGAAGTGCCTCTGGGGTGCTTATTCACTGTAGTAATCTATCGATAGGGAGAAACATCATCTCACGAGGAGGAGGTGCAGGTATGCTGGGGAAGCCCTGATTGGTTTAAGATGGCCCTTTTCTTAGGAGGATCTTCCCTTCTTGCCTGCAACTTTGCAACCAACTCTCTGAGCTCAAAGGGGCAAAGTGCTTAGGACACGTGCCTGCATCTAGCAAGTGTGACTTGTGTTTGCTGCTCTCTGAGGGGTGCAGGTTAGCGCCTCCAGTTCTGCTGCTTGCTGTGAGGACCAGCTTGCAGGCACATGGGGGAGAGGGAGTGGCTGTGACCACACAGTGACTGGTCCAGGCCATCAGGTGGTCCATGGACACACTGTGTGCCTGTCTTCTAAAAGCATCATTGCTAGTATTTCTCTTGCCGTTCTTTTGCCTTCTGCTTGTTTTATTGACTTTCTTTCCTCCCAACTAAGAAAGAGCTTTCTTGGGGCAATAAAGCAAACCTAATGAAAATCCTGAAGAAACAGAAAATGAACAGGTCATTCTTTTTACAGCAGAGCAAGGGTAGCCAATGGGCAGTGGGTCATGAAATACTAAATAACCCCAAGCTACTAGTACTTTCGATCACCACATTCACTACCACCAATGGAGTACCGCCCACATGCTAGACACTTTAAGCATTACCTTTAATCTGAGTGTTACGCTCATTTGACAGATGAGGAACCTGTCTGTCATCTGGGGTTCAGGGAACTTTAATAAATTATCCAAAAACCATACAAGTGGCAGAGCCAGGATTGCACAGCAGGGTTCCCTAAATCCCTGAGCCATCTTACACACATGCACACAGCAAGCTAAAAGAAGAACCCACCCTGGAACCCCACCCCACCCCCACTACCAGCTTCTCACTCTGCCCACTGTTTCCCGGAGACACAGAGGCAACATGAAAGCCACACCCAAGTCATCAGAGTGTATGAGGCCACTTGCTTCTGTAGTCGGACTGTGCAAATTATTTCAGATACCCCCTCCTGAATTAAGGATAGAAGAGTTGAGAACAGTAATTTTCACTAATTCCGGTCCTATCAAAAGAAATCAAAGAAGTAGACCAAATTGTGTTCTTTGACTCCCATATCCAGGTCCAGACTGAGCCAGGCGATGAGGATTTTATTCTCTTCTCTCAGCGCACCACCCTGGGTTTTCTCCCAGTGAATTTGCACCTGCGTGGTGTTGGAGCTTTCTAATATTCTTAGTGTGTTCCTCTGATGAGTTTTGTTCTTAGCTCTGCTGATCCTGTTACTAGTTTCGTTGTCAAAGTCTTTGTTCTGGCTAACACAGTTTCTTTAAATGGCTCAGGAAAGCACTTACTCTTTGGTTGACTGTTGGCATAGGGCAGTGTCACCAGCATCAACCATCCGAATTTAAAGAGGGCAGGGCAAGTTAAAAGGGCCTGTGTTCACAAACTCTTAACAAAACAATGATGGTGTGGCATAAAGAAATGAGAAAAGTTTTTTTTTGTTTGGTAGAATCACAGGTAAGACAGACTTAGGATCTGGAATTCTCTGGTCAGTTTGGTTTACTTCTGCTGTAATAGCGTTGATACTCTCCACATCACACACACTTCATATGCCTGTAGAAATAGATTATTGCTTTTGTTGTGCAGGCATCTGAGCCAGGAGTCCCTCCCTGAGGTTTACTGCGGCTCACAAACTACTGATGTGTAAGTCCAGCTGAGCTTAGATTCTGTCAGAATGAAAGCTGCCCTGTAGTTGAAGTTTTGACATCTGGGGAAACAGAAGAGAACCCTGGGACAAGGGGTGCAGTCCTTGCCTTCAGCTAAGTGAACAAGTGCCCAACTGCCCCCCGCCCGTGGCGTCTCCTCAGGGAGCACTTCTCTCTGCATACGAGCTCTGCGCCTCCTCCCGCCAGAGTAGGCCCTGCCGCTGGTGATGGCAGAAAGCAAGGCCTTCGGGTAGGGAGGGCTGGGGTCTCCACAGCACTGGGGGCAGGTGGTGAGAAAAACAATTGGGCTTCACAGTAACTGCCTAGCACTAAAGCCTTCTTTTTGTAGGTGGGGTTCTTTGTTTTGGTTTTGATCCCTACTCTTTTCTTTATTTCTATCTTAGGACAGAACACGGGTTGTGTCGCCTATCATCGATGTCATTAACATGGACAACTTTCAGTACGTGGGGGCATCCGCTGACTTAAAAGGCGGTAGGTTCTGTTCCTGGTCACCCTGCCTTGCTCTTCCTGTCTACACAGTGTTTGAGCGCTGCTCTCTCTTGGTGTCACCAGTGACAATAACAGCAGTATTCACACTCCCAGTGCGTGTGCTCCAAGCAAAGAATGTCTGTGTGCTCAACAAGTAGAATCTCGTGAAGAGAGAAAGATAGCCTTGCTTCCCTTAAAGAGCTTCCTGTGTGTCCTGTGCTTCTCTCATCTCTTTGACCTTCTATTGCTGTTGTTGCACGTGTGGCTCAGTACACAGTTTTGGTGTCATTTTTAATCAGAGAAGATTAAGTCTTCCCGACAAGGTGTCTGGGATAGGAGACTCCACAGCTGACAGGCAGAGTGTGAGGAGTGCCACAGAGCTTAGGTTTTGTGCAGATGGAGTGGGGAGGCCGTCTTTCCCTCCCCCTCACACCAGCTCTCCTCGGATAGCCTGAGTCTCCTGGGAGGCAAATCCATCTACCTGGTCATACAGGTGGACACCTGGTCATCCCTGACTCCCACTCACCACCCAGGCTCACTAGTCACCAAGTCCTGATATGACCCCTACTGTGGCTTGGTATTTGTCCCTCCTCCCCACCTCTACCACCCACATCCTGCTTCACTTCCAGGTGACCTTGTGTCGGAGTGACCACATCTGTCTCCTGTTGGTCCTCACAGTCTCCGGGTGTGTTCTACTCTGCCCTCCACAGAGCCCCCAGAGTGGCTTGTCTAATACTCTTTTAATTTTCTTAAAAATTATCAAAGGCCCCAAAGAATTTTTGTTCACGTGGGCCATGTATATTAACATTTGCTGTATTTGAAATTAAAGCCGGGAAAGTGTTAAAACACAAGATGATTTAAGTACACACCCTATGGTCCATCAGACTGCTGACATCCCATGTCCTGTAGCTTCCAGAAAACTCTACTGTGCACTTTTGAAAGAATGAGATTGAAAGAGGCATGTAAGATCTTAATGTAAATATGAAAGTAGTTTTGGAAGGGTCTGTGGACCCCAGGGCAGGGGTTCCTGGACCTCCTGGAGAACCGCTGGTCTCATGAAGGGCTTCATGCTGCCCGTGGATGCGCAGGAATGACACTAGCCCATTCTGAGGAGCTGGTCATGTTCCATCTGGCTCTACTGGTTGTCCCTGTGTCCCTGGGACTGTGTGTATGTGTGTAGAGGGTGACGTGTCTCCTCAGGGCTCTGCCACAGACCAATAGTCAGTGCTCCAAGCTCTGACACGCTGCTGGTTGGCAGCCTCACCCCTCAGAACTTGGCTGGGAGCCAAGAAAGCAGGAAAACTGCTGTAAGCAGCTAAAAGAGATGTCAGAGCCTTGTCCTCCTGTCTGTCTAATTTGTTCACTTTTGATTCTTTATACCTGAGGTCAGTGAATTCTTCCAGGTGTCCAGCACCCCAGTTTCTTTATGTAAAACAAGGGGTTCTTCTTCCCACCTCCTAACATTTGAGCTGATTAGAAGAAGATGGACTATTACTGACGGACACACAGAAAGAGAATCAACTGACAGTCTAACTTAAAAAAAAAGAAGACAGTAACACTGTAAACTTGGGCGCAACCTCAGAAAACAGAGTGCTGGAAACGGTTAGTGAGACTCAGACCTTTGACAGTACCTGCCTCTTTCGGGCCATGTCACAGTGGGTGAGTTGTTTCACCTGTCCCCCTTGCAGAGATCTCTCTCTGAGAAATGGGGTGATAATTGTGCCAGCCACATAACATCATGAAGGGATTAGAGTGGCTGGCATGAGGTCAGTGTTGTGACCAAGCAGCTCCCCCTTCCCAAGGCCTCAGAAAGAGGTCAGTCATGCTGGGAGGTCTGTACCTACATTGGGAAATGAAATTCAAGAAAGATTCAGAGCAAACGGGGAGAAGGATTTGACAGATCCCTAGCTATCCAGAACGGGGGACAGTTCAGAGTGCCTTATTCCCCCAGGGAGTTGCAGGATCTGAGATTTAATGGGCTCTTTCTCCCACAGCAGCTGCTTGTGTCAGAGCAGGTGCAGGGACAGCAAAGGGCTCTGCGGTGGGGTCCAGGCTTCCTGCTGCGTCAGTCAGATTCCATCTAAGAGCATTTTACAAAATCCCATGGGAAGAAAATATCAAGGATGACATTTTTAGCAGGTTCTTAAAATCTACTGTATCTTGTCTCTTGCGACCACATTAATAAAACAATAATGAACATTGAAAAAATGAGAGTAATGTTATAACAAGGCTGGTTGAGGCCTTTGCCTTCTCTGTTAGTAAAACAGCCAGGATGTTTGTCGTTTGTCTGGTTGGCACGGTTGTGTTTGAGGCAGGCTCTCTGGATAGCCAGCCAGCATAAGGCCTGTATCGGTTTCCTCTCTGTGTGTTACTGGCCCCCAACCACCCAGTCATTCTTTGCCTGGACCTGCTCTGCTCTGCAGTGACAGCTGGGGGACCTTTTGGTCCTGTGCCTCTGATTGAGCTGTGAAGCATGCTGGTCCAGCCCAGGAGGCTGCGAGCCCCTGCCTCCCATCCTGCCCTCCTCAGGCTGCAGACACCAGGCCTATCAGGGCAGACAAGCACGGAGTTCAGAGCACACAGACAAGAAACCCGAACTTAGGCATTGCACAAACCCTACTGACAAAAAGTCTGATGGCAGAGAGCTTAAGAGGCACAGAACTGGAGGATAGATGGCCCTGGAGTAATTAGTTTTGGCTGTCAGACCCTTGAAAATGCAGTGTGATAATCCACATGTTGCTGAGAAATGGTCTCCTCATGTGTCTGGAGAGTGTCATTAGGTGGCATGTGCTGGTGCCACAGGGCTTGGTGCAGGGGACCTTCTGAGTAAGGGCGAGACCCAGGAACTGTGGACAAGTGCCTACAAATGCCAGAAATTTGCCATCCTGAGCATCCTGTGGAATCTAAAAGTGAACCGGGACAAATGCCAAACTTATCCGAAATTGAAGCTTGCTTGCTTACTTTGCTCCTTCTTTTGGCTCATTTTCATGTAAAAGTTTTCTGTCTCCTATCTCTCCCCACACCAGTTCTTGCCTGAATATGGTTCAGTTGCAATCAAGAGACACTGAAGAGATCAAGTTGACAGGCCAAGGCCTATCTTGTCCCCTCCCTGTTCCGTTGCTCTGGGACAATGCTGGATGCACAAGGACAGGTTTTTTTTTTTTTTTTTTAAAGATTTTATTTTTTTCCCTTTTCTCCCCAAAGCCCCCCAGTACATAGTTGTATATTCTTCGTTGTGGGTGCTTCTAGTTGTGGCATGTGGGACGCTGCCTCAGCGTGGTCTGATGAGCAGTGCCATGTCCGCGCCCAGGACTCGAACAACGAAACACTGGGCCGCCTGCAGCGGAGTGTGCGAACTTAACCACTTAGCCACAGGGCCAGCCCCACAAGGACAGGTTTTTTTTTAATCCCAGTCACTCTTCTTTCTCACCTCCTTACAGCCCTTGGATGTGCAGTGCTGTCACACACACGTGCCACTTCTCTGCTCATTTCGTTTATTCTTACACATTTTAATTGTAGGAAAGCCTGGCCCACTTCTTCTGCCTCCGGTAAGCTCCCTGGGGAGAGATTTCAGTGTGCGCCCTGCTCACTGGTCTCCTAGCCCCAGCGCCACCCCAGTCACTCTCTCCTTTCCACATCTTCTTTGGGTGTTTTTTTTTTTCTTTCTTTGATTTTCGATGAGTCCCATCCAGATATGAAATATTTTTAAGTTGTGAGGGATGCGGTGCTGGGAACAACCGGCTGGTTCTTGTCAACTCTGTGTTTCTTGTCTGTGGCCGACAGGTTTTGACTGGAACTTGGTGTTCAAGTGGGATTACATGACACCTGAGCAGAGGAGATCCCGGCAGGGGAACCCAGTCGCCCCCATAAAGTAAGTGCCAGGCCTCCTTTGGGGGGCCCCTCACAAGTAAGAACCCAGGCTTTGGCCTCGCATTCCCTGGATACCTGGTCAGGCTCGTCACCTTCTGCCCTTCCCCTCCCCCATTTCTCTTTCTTAGCTCCAGGCGGAGTATCTGCCACCACATCATAGAATAAAGTACTCTGAAATTTCTTTTGCTCAATGAAGTCTAACCTGTATATAAGGCAAACCTGCTGTTCTCTCTGTTCCTTCATGTTTACAATGTAGAGCATTTTACACAGCAGCGTAGGGTCTCCACATTGACCTCAGGGACCAGGGAAGAGCGGTGAGCCAGGCCAGCATGAGGCCCCTGCACTGCTGCCCTATCTGATTGGCTGCCCTGCCTCAGCAGGTCTCGCTCTCCTGTGTGCCTGCAGAGCAGGCAGCTCGTATCCATTTACACCTGGCTTTAGGATTCCCAGACCATATGTGGGATTCATGCTGTCAGGCTGCACCTCTGGCCGGGCACAAATGTGGGGTGGTTTTCAGGGTAGACACACAGTTAAGTGAGAGCATAGCTGCAGACTTTGACATGAAATACACTCACTAGCATTTATCCAGCATCTGCAGTGTGCCCTAGACTTTTCCAGCACCTGACATGGAATTCCCACGGTGTCTCTACTGGGAAGAAAGTAGGGGCTCAGTAAGCGTCCTGTTGTTGACCCTTCCCAGGCTGATGAAGAAACAATGAAGATGGAGTGCCCCCTGATAATGATAATGCTAAGGACAGCTGACGTTGTTGAGCATTTCCTAAGTGTGCTGAGTGCTTCACGCATGTTACTTTTTGTAATCCTCTAAGGAAACTGAGGCACTGAAAGGCTGAGTACTGCCTAGGTCCATTTGTCAGTGAGGGTTCCTGGCGGTCACTCTCTCACAGGGGAGACTCGGTCTAGCCCCTTGCACCATGGGAGCATCTGAGCAGGGAAGTGGGGGAGGCATTCAAAGAAAGCAGTGATAAAGCAGAGAAAGGGGCACCCAAAATTCTGAGGAAAGAATGATGCTGTGCGGTTATTTTTAAGGTCAGCTAGTTTACTTGACCTTGATGTAAGAATGCTGGTGATCTAACCTTGACCTTCGACCTCTCCATCTCTTTCCTCCCACCCTCTCTTCCTCTTTAGAACCCCCATGATTGCTGGCGGATTGTTCGTGATGGATAAGTTCTATTTTGAAGAACTGGGGAAATATGACATGATGATGGATGTGTGGGGAGGAGAAAACCTGGGTATGTATGAGCCTGTGTCTTCAGATACCAAAAGTTTCCAATTCTGGTGAAATCATGGTTTTTTCCTGCCCACCAAAAGGGATAGAAATGAAAAATAGGAGCTTTGAAGAGACTGTTAGGCAAGAGTTTGTGGTATACAGGGTGCTAATTGGAAAAACTTTTTTAAGACATTACAGTTCATTGGACATAATTGGTCTCCATATCAGTATAAATAGCACCCCTTTCACTCTTAAAAGTGTCTTGGGTTGGGCATTAGAATATGTCACCCTAAGAGGGGCTGGCCCTGTGGCCTAGTGGTTAAGTTTGGTCCACTCTGCTTTAGTGGCCCACGTTTGGTTCCTGGACACAGACCTATACCACTCGTGAGCAGCCATGCTGTGCCAGTGACTCACATACAAAATAGAGGAAGATTGGCACAGATGTTAGCTCAAGTGAGTTTTCCTCAGCACACACACACACAAATGTCACCCTAAGATTGCAGGATGCTAGATACAGAAAATGTCCTTGAAGGAAAATACAAACTCTTTAATTTCATTTGAATCCAAGGGTTTGGAAAACAAGCACACAAAGATGGGGGAACCATTTCAGGCTCAGGATTCATTTTTAGCCATGTAGAGTGTGAAATGAGCTCTGGTGATTGATTGAGTTATAATCATGGAAATTAGATGGATAGAGAGGCTTCAGCGTTTAATGCCTTCTTTACCACTTTGTGAATGTTTCTAATTTGGTTTGATTTTTTTTTTAAGTAACCTATGCAGATCATTTTTACCCAGGTTTAGTGGCAATGAAATTTTATAGATTTTGGTCTTTGTTGATCGCTGCATCATATTTACTGTATAAAGATAAAAAGACTCTTCTTCTTTTGTTTTCTTTGTTTGTTTAGGGTGTTTTTGTTTGTTTCACTTGAGGCCGTTAATTTCAAGTGCTTGGGGCTCTGAGCCAATTCTTCTCTGCTATTGAATGCTGTTAAATTACATACCTGGGTGGACATACCCCAGGGAAGAAGGGGGCAAGGAAAAGGAGAAAGAAAAAGGATGTCATTGTCATTTTTTAGTAGTTTTTCTTGTAACAGAGACTTTGATGGTTTTTGTTAGGTTAAAAGAAAAGAAAAGACTAGCCTATTACTTTTCTCTTGTTTTGTGTTAAAGTTAGTAATAACATCTTTCTGTTGAGGATTTCTCTGCTTTGATTTGGTGTTGAAAGTTTCTTTAGACTCAGTTGCTATACTGAGACAAAGGACCAGGAGTCGGACTCCTTTTGGTTTTCTTTTTAATGATATGTTGACAGGTAGGCAGAACTTGGATTGGAGTTGCTTGAGCACAGAAGGTTTCAGAATTGTTAAGCTTCTGAAGAGAATTCTGAGTCACCCTTGCTCCACAAACGTCCCCTGATGGATTGGGAGAAATCAAGCCAGCCAGGACCACCCAGTAGGACAGTACATCACTTACATGACCATTTCCCAAAAACACAGTATGGTTTTCAGAAGTGTGTACTATTTGCTGAAAGCTGAGATTAGACGAATGACATGGCAGCCAGCCTTTTGTGTCATACTGTAGAAAGAGTGTTGATTTAAATATCAAAGGTGACATGTCGCCCAGAGACCAGAGGGAGGGGAGAGAATTTTTTTTAGTTACTTAGTTTATTGTTGGTCTGGTTTTTATATTTATGTAGCTGTGTCATAAAGGGCTTGAGGAAGGGACTCAGGTGGGAGGACAAGGAGGAAGGGCCGAGCCCACCCTGCCTGGGCATGGGCAGCATCTCCCCCTCCTTGACTGACTCTGATAAGGCCACTCTCAAAGATCCTCTTCTCTCCTCAGAGGTTAGGCAGGCAGAGGATTTCAGCAAGAAGAGTTCCTGATGTGAGTCTTTCTCTCTTCCTGGCACTGCACCGACTTCTTTTTCTGGGTGCTGTGTGCACACCCCCAGCAGCTGTCTAGCCTAAGTGTCGTGTGCGGGTATGTGTTGGGAGAGGCGGGATGTAGGACACCTGAGAACGTTCAAACAACCTCCTTCAAGTGCAGCCCACCGAAACCAGTGGAGCTTCCAGTTTCCCTGACTAATAATGCAAGTCTAATTTAGGCAGTTAAAAAGGAGGACAGAACCTAGTCCTGAGCCCCTGTGATTAGATGTAGAGGTTAGGCTGCATGGGGTAATTATTTGTGCTTTTCTGCATGTCCCCACAGCATTAGGACCAATGGGAGATGCTTCCAGTGCATCATCTCATTTCATGCCTTCTTGGAGGACTGAGGTCTCACCTCAGGTCTCAGAGCTGGTTGTTAGCAGAGCCAAGATGCAAACACAAACAAACTGCCTTTTAAAAAGCCACCAAGTCGTCTTGAATGATCATCCCCACGCTTCAGGGCTCATGCAAATCAGAGTTGAATATCACTGTAGTTGTACTTGACCTTAAAAATCTCCCAGTAGACCTCTGGCTGGATCCCTTACTGGTTTAACAGACACCCCTGTGGAAGCCAGGGGCCCTTCCAAGCCCCAATTTGTAATAGTCCATGACCTCATGGTCTTAAATTTTCCATTTAGGCAAATATGTATTTAAATTTTATTTCCTTAAATACAGAGAACTTCTTATTGAGAGTTTCATTGGACACTGTAAGAAGGGAAGTCAGAAACCTTTCACTGCACGGGCTTGGATGGTTGTGACCAGATGTTTTTTAATACTCCGAGGCATTGGTTATTCAAGTCCCCTCCAGCTGCGGTGTCGTTCTTCCCCAGTGAGGGAGGTGTCTCCGACTACTTTAGTTTGCCAGATTCGAGTAGAATCTCCTGCTGCTGTGCCCCTGAGTGGGCATTATGTGCCCTTAGCTGTGCTGTCTGGGCACCTGCTGCCCTACAAGGGCTTGTCTAGTGGGTTTACCCAGCAGCTCACTTCATAGTCTGTTGTAATCCCACCTTACTTCTGATCGTTCTGCATTGGTGGCAGTGACTGCCAGTTCTGTAGATTCTGTCTTGCCTCCCAGTGTGTTCTTAGGGATGCAAAATGATGTAGAGGAAAGCCCTTTATAAAAATCTCATGAAGTCTTTCAGAAAAATAATGTTTAACCTTTCAGAATATTACACCTTGATTTTTCTGTTTAACCTCAGTTGCTTCCATTCAGTAGGACCTCCAACACAGGCTACAGTTACTCAGGATGGGTGGCAATTAGGACAGGTGCCTGTGTGTCCCGAAAGTCAGCCATGTGCAAGCTTCTCCCAAGTACAGATGCTCAGAGCAGGGTGTGTGTGTAAGCTGGCTAGTGAGGGATTCAGTGCAATCATTCCATGAATCGATATTTGTGATCATAGAGTGACTTACATGGTTACGCCAGGCATCATTTATATTCAGAATAGACTGAAGGATCACTCTTGTCCTGAGGTTTCCATCCAGAATCTGAAAAATGTTTCCACATCCTCCTTATTACTCTCTTTTTAATTTGGAATAGAATTCTTTAATGAAGACATGGGAATTGGTGACACAGATATAGTTGGCTTCCATGATTCTGATCAGCGCTAAAGATCTAAGTAAATGCCCCAATGTGAGTAGTCTGTTTGGTGTGAATTATTCTTTTTGTCCACACAGCTTTATGTCATCTGTAAAACAACTCTCTGTGCTGTGGAGACACCCACTTAGTGAACTGAAGTATGCTCTTTCATTCAGTCTTTTTTTCTCTCCAGCTTTATTGAGGTATAGTTGACATTTAAAGTTGTATGTCTTTAAGGCGTACAACTTGATGATGTGATGTACATATCCACTGTGAAATATTCACTGCAGTCAAGTCAATTAACACATCCACCTGCACATACTTTCTTGATTGTGTCATGAAGCCTAGAGATCCAGAGTATCAGCTGTGTCTTGGATGGTGGTGGGTGGGTGTCTGCACCCTGTTTGGGGCAGCTCCTGTTCAAAGCAGCCCCAGACTCCATCAGTCACCCTGTCTCGTTCGTCACCTTAGAGATCTCGTTCCGCGTGTGGCAGTGTGGTGGGAGCCTGGAGATCATCCCCTGTAGCCGCGTGGGACATGTGTTCCGCAAGCAGCACCCGTATACTTTCCCCGGTGGCAGCGGTACTGTCTTCGCTCGGTAAGTGGCGGAACAGGGACAAGAACATTGTTGCCACCCAGATAGGAGTTGACTTTGGGCTGTATGGAAACAAGTGTCCTTCAGTGGGACACCACTCAGCAAAGACAAGGAACAGCTGTTGATACACACAGCCACTTGGCTGCCTCTCACAGGCATTATGTTGAGTGAAAGATGCTGGTCTCAGAGGTTATGAACTGTCAATCCCATGTAGGGGGCTGTCTCAGAAAGACACAACTACAGTGATGGAAAACAGACCCGTGGTTGCCAGGGATCGGGATAAGGAGAGTGTGACTGCGAAGGGGCTGCACAAGGGGTGTTTGGGGGTGATGTATCCTGATGTGGTGGTTGGTGCACAAATCTCTGCGTATGTGAAAGCTCAGAACAAAAAATGTTATGTGAAAATGTTATTTTAAAGAAGAGAAACTTAAACGTTTTTATTACAGATTACCATTCAAGGTACAATATATGAACAATATTAAAGTCTAGTCATACTAAATTCAACCCTGAAAGACAGCACAATATAAAGATATGATTCATGATAGATAATAGCTATATTTTAGCAAACGTGAAGATGCCAGATGAAAAGCTTTCTGAAGGAAAATGGCAAATTACCAGTCCGTGGGACCACATTTTTTCCTAGGAAATTCTTTTAGATGCTAAAGATGAAATAGTGTACAAACCAGCCAGCGAGGCCTCAGGGAGATGGAAATAGCCCAACACATGCACAGCTAAATAAGGTTATTTCACACACTAATAAATGCCGTGGAAAGATGAAATGTGGTAATGTGGTTGAGCATGACAGGGTCAGAGGAAGAGAAGTTTGCAGAGTGGCATGCACACAAAGGGACCCTCTGAGGAGGTGGTGCTTGTCTCAGACCTGAAAGGTGGGAAGGAGGTTCCTGGGGACTCCTGGGGAGCAGCGCTCCTGCTGGAGGAGCAGATCCTCGGCACTGAGATAAGGGTGAGTTTGGCACACATGTGGAACAGGACACCAAGTATGACAGGAGCCCAGAGGACAAGAAGATTGTAGACAGGGTGGAAGAGCTAGATAGGCCCAGTCATGCACCCTGCAGGTCGTGGGAAACTTTGGATGTGTTTTCAATGCCAGGGGGAGCAATTGGGGATTTTAAGCTTTAGAGAGGTCCTTCTAGCCAATGAGTGGAGGGGGACGAGGAGGTGACGCCAGGATAAAACGATAGTGTGAATGTCCCTCCCCTCCACTTCAGGATCTGGAGCGGGTTACTTTTGGGAGCTGTCACAGAGGCCCAGGCAAGAGATGAGTGGCCTGGACCAGAGTTGTGACCAGTACGATGCAGGCAGGTTCCGGCTACATTCTCGGGCAGGCAGTGTTTACTAATGGACTGGCTAGGACAGGAGAGGAAGAGCAAGAGATTGACGGTGACATGCAGGCTCTTGGTCACACGGTTTGCTGATGTGGTGCCCCTATTGAAATAGCAAAGCTTTAGAGTTGAGTGGGAGTGGATGGGCGGGGAGGGATGACTAGGATGTCTTTTTTTTTTTTGATTGGCACCTGAGCTAACAACTGTTGCCAATCTTCTGGGTTTTTGTTTTTGTTTTTGTTTTTTGCTTTTTCCAAATGTCCCCAGCACATAGTTGTGTATTTTAGTTGTGGGTCCTTCCAGTTGTGGCACACGGGATGATGCTGCCCCAGCATAGCCCGACGAGCGGTGCCATGCCCACGCCCAGGATCTGAACTGGTGAAACCCCGGGCTGCCAAAGCAGAGCACGCAAACCCAACAGCCCGGCCACAGGGCCGGTCCCCTAGGATATCTTTTTTTTTTTTTTTTTAAGATTTTATTTTTTCCTTTTTCTTCCCAAAGCCCCCCGGTACATAGTTGTGTATTCTTCGTTGTGGGTTCTTCTAGTTGTGGCATGTGGGATGCTGCCCCAGCGCGGTCCGATGAGCAGTGCCATGTCCGCGCCCAGGATTCGAACCAACGAAACACTGGGCCGCTTGCAGCGGAGCGCGCGAACTTAACCACTCGGCCACGGGGCCAGCCCCCCTAGGATATCTTTTAAATAGTGTTTTAAAACTTTGTAAGTACAGATTACACAATAGACGCGTGTTATATAGAAGCTGAATTTTTAGCATAGAGAATCTGAGTTCTGGGGAAATTTAATAGAAGCCAAATATCAAATAATGCTTCTAACCAAATTACCTTCTCTCAAAGAGTATAGCCTTCCCGAATGTTGTCTAAATTTCACTTTTGCTCTCTTTTAGAAGCAAAAATATGGTCTTATCTGATGGGTTCTACAAAATCAAACAAACATTGATATGTACATTTTTTTCCTGGAGCAATATGAGATTCTTTCCAGAAGCCTCTTGTATAGACACGTGAAATACCCTAAATCAAAGCCAGTGCCATCTACTGGCAAATGGTGGGATTTCAGAAGACAGTCTGTTAAATACACAAGACGTTGCTTTATACACTGTTTTTTATTTTTTTAATTTTTCTCCTTTTTTTAATTAAGATTATGATATTTACAACCTTGTGAAATTTCAGTTGTGCATTATTGTTAATCATGTTGTGGGTACACCACTTCACCCTTTGTGCCCTCCCCCCGCCCCCCTTTCCCCTAGTAACCACCACTCAGTTCTCTTTGTCTATATGCTAACTTCCACCTATGAGTGGAGTCATACAGAGTTCGTCTTTCTCTATCTGGCTTATTTCACTTAACATAATACCCTCTAGGTCCATCCATGTTGTTGTGAATGGGGCAATTTTGTCCTTTTTTATGGCTGAGTAGTATTCCATTGTATGTATATACCATATCTTCTTTATCCAGTTGTCAGTTGCTGGGCACTTAGGTTGCTTCCACGTCTTGGCTATTGTAAATAATGCTGCAATGAAAATAGGGGTGCATGGGACTTTTGGAATTGCTGATTTCAGGTTATAAGGATAGATACCCAGTAATGGGATGGCTGGGTCATAAGGTATTTCTATTTTTAACTTTTTGAGAAATCTCCATACTGTTTTCCATAGTGGCTGCACCAGTTTGCGTTCCCACCAACAGTATACACTGTTTTTTAAAGCACTCTTTTAGAAAGGAAACTTTTTCATTGTATTTTACAGCCACGGAGTCTGTGTACAGGAGATCTGGAGTAGAGACTGACCCAGGGTTTCAGTGCTGGGGCAGCACGATCTGTTAGACCTCAGTGAGGCCCTCCACTGCCTTCTGTCCCAGTTGACTCATATAAAAAGATAAATGGGTGGAATTATATTGTTTCTGAGGTCCCTTTTCAATTCCAGGTTGTCTTTAATTTCCTCTAATATGTGGCATTAAATGTGTAAGTATTTCACCAACTAAAAATTGAGACTTAACAACAATAGCTGTATTTAGAGTGTGTTGTGTGCCAGGCTGTTCTAAAAACTTTGCAAATAATGACTTCTGTAATTCTCATAAAACCTTATGAATTAGGTACTATTATTAATGCTCACATGAGGGATAAGGGAAACTGAGACACAGAGTGGTTCTGTTCCTTTGTCCAAGTTCACACAGTTAGAAAATGATAGAGCTGGTTTTCGACTTGGGCGCTGTGGCTCCAGAGTCCATGTCAGTGTCACACATTGATCTTTTTATCTTTATCCCTAAGTGTAGTTAGTGCCTGAGGTTGCTAGAAGTCAGGAATGAGATGCAGATTCTGAAATAGGTCGTAGAATGGCATGTAGAAGATGATCATATTTATGTAGTTAGTTTGTCAGTGAATGAGTGAGGGAGTAAATGACCAGTGAAGGGATGGAGCAAGTAGCCCGAGTGGAGTCCTACCTGGTTTTGCCACCCCATGTGTACCACGTGGGCACCTGTTACTTTAGAAAGACTGCAGTGATGATGCACCTACAAATTCTTATATCTTTGGTTGTGGCAGCCGCATCCCTTAAGATCTGCTGAGAGTGAACAGTGGGATGGTTTCTTCCCTTTAATTGCATAGCTACGTTTCCAGTTAGCTTCTTACAAGCCTCTTGAACCACTGTTTGGAGGGTGCTATGTGTGCTTGAGTACTCCTGTGGATTAGAGTTTACCTGAAGGCCAGGGCAAGTCCAGGCGGAAGAGCGGTGTGGTGGGGGTAGACCCCATAGTTGGGTATTTGGGTTTAGGCTTAGCAGGTAATGGTGAGACTTCAGTTATTCATGCTGAGTGATAATCAAATAAACTAAATATAGGAAACTAGTGGTTTAAACTTATTTTCCTATCAAACTTTTTTCTGTTATCGCCACCAAGCAGAATAACTGGCCAGTTTGAATTACATGTCTTCTCTCTCATGCCTGCTTCCTGGTCTAACTATTTTATCTTCACTGGGGCAGGGAGGCGGTTGGGGGGGGGGGGTTGTGGGGAGGGGATTGGCAAAGACGAGGAGCACCTGGATTTGTGAGTGGACCTTGGACCTCTCTGGGGGCCGCTGTGTCTCTAGCATCTAGAATGTTCCTAATAAATATTTGAATGAAGGAGTTGAAACTTAGCACTCAGTAGCACATGAAGGTTATTCTTTGAGGCTACTTACATACATATCATTTTTCTTTTTTTTTTCTTTTTTTTAGATTTTCTTTTTCTTTTTCTCCCCAAAGTCCCCTGGCACATAGTTGTGTATTTTTTTTAGTTGTGGGTCCTTCTACTTGTGGCATGTGGGATGCCACCTCAGCGTGGCCTGACAAGCGGCGCCATGTCCGCGCCCAGGGTTGGAACCAGCGAAACCCTGGGCCGCCGAAGCGAAGCATGTGAACTTAACCACTCGGCCACGGGGCCGGCCCCTCATTTTTCTGTTAACTAGACAGGAAAAAAGTTGCTTTGCATTTAGAAATTAAGAAATGACTTAATCCCTTAACAACTTAGGTGATTTAGAATCACTGTGTGATTGGAATTCATACAACCTTTAAACCATTAGGGCTGAAAGGGACCTAGGAGACCTTGGGGGTGTCTCCTTTCATTTACTGATGGAGAGCCCCAGTCCCAGAGGACTGACGTCATATAGCCGCTGAGGAGATTGCCTGGGCTTAGGTTAAGGCACAGGTCACCTGGAAGACCCTGAAATCCCTGTTAGAATATTTAATGGCTCTTCTGAGAAATGATACTTATGATCCAGTATCCCCAGCACTTTAAATCTTTAAAAACTCATTGTCATATCTATGTTTTTTTTTTTTTTTTTACAGAGAGAAAGTAAAAAATCATCAACCTTATTACCAAAGATAGCCCTCTCCTGTTTTGGTGAATTCATCTCTCACTCTCTCCCCCTGGCGCTCCCTCCCGTTCTCTTCCCCCCTTCTCCCTCCACCCACATATCTACTATGTGCTGTTCTTTAGTCTATTTAATTTTCACCCAACAAGTCAAGGACATCATTCCATGGACACTGGTATATTTAATGGCCACAGAGTAGTCTGTTTGATCACTTCCCTGTTGGTGGTCTTATAGTTGCTAATTTTTGCCCTTATAAACAGTGCTGAAGGGTCCGGCCCCATGGCCGAGTGGTTAAGTTCACGTGCTCCGCTTTGGCGGCCTGGGGTTTCGCTGGTTCAGATCCTGGGCGCGGACATGGCACCGCTCATCAGGCCACGTTGAGGCAATGTCCCACATGCTACCACTAGAAGGACCCACAACTAAAATATACAACTATGTAGTGGGGGGATTTGGGGAGGAAAAACAGGGAAAAAAAAAAACAATGCTGAAGTGAGCATATTTTCACATATATGTTTTCATTCCAGTTGATTATTTCCTTGAGGTAGAAAATTTCTAGAAGTGAAACTGCTGGATCAGAGGATGGGTACATTCATATTGTCTTGTCTGTCTCTTAAATGACATTCTAAACAACAGTCCATCCCCAGATTATTTTAATAACTGTAACTCAGATAATTTGAAAGGCTCACCATTTAGAAGAGACATTTTTGGTGGAGAAAAGGAATTGTTTTAAAAGGTGAGCATTGCATCCCTAGTATATTTGTTATGGGAGGACAGACCGCCGCCTCTGTAATGGGCTCTTCAGGAGGGTTGGCTCTGAGTCCGAACTGTGAGCCCCTGTGAGCTGAGTCTGGGATTGGAACTGAAGCAGCTGCACCCTCGCTGCTGCACAGGTGGTTTAAGAAGAGCGTCGCAGGATAAGGGGCTGAGGCCTCTGCACGTGGCAGCCTTCAGTGTATGTCGCACATTCAGAAGTAACTGTTCTGGGGCTTATTGATCATAAATTAGGTTCTCACCCTGATTTTGAGATTTAAGCACATGGTTTTCTTGCCTTCCAGAAAAGCCTGTTCTGTCTGTGCTGCCCCTCCAGCGGTGTGGTAGGAGCCCCAGGTGTGGGGCATAAAGCTGTTGTCCCCCTCATATCACTATTCCTTATCCAGATAGGACACTCTCAGCTCAGGTCTGCAGAAAAGAAAGTCATTTTAATAGTAACTCTTATCTAGTCTTAACTTTTTTCCCACAGCTATTTGCCCTTGTTGCAGCCACAATGAAGCAGGCCATACAGGACAAGGATTCCTTGGCTGTGCTCCCTGTACCAGCATCTGTGGATGCAGAACACAAGTTATCGCAGAGTAATTCTCTTTTGTCCTTCTTGATGGTACAGCCCCAGTCCCTTCTTTAAAACACCTGCCTGTGCTGTAATTCTAACTCAGACTTGCTCTCTGATAACCTGTGTTCTGTGAAAGATGAGAAAGCGAGCTGTTTGTTCAGCAAGCACCGAATGAGTGCCAGCTGCCCACAAACACAGCCCCGGTTGCTGAGTGGGGACAGCCTGCTCTCTGCATCACTGCCAAAGCTGCCAGCCCACCTAGAAGGACCTTCCTAGTAGCTCTCCAGGCAGACAAGTGCAAACGGAGTGATGCTGACAGAAAGCAAGCCAATAGCAGCTCAAGGAGACCTATTTTGTTTCTAGGAACACCCGCCGGGCAGCGGAGGTCTGGATGGATGAATACAAAAATTTCTACTATGCAGCAGTGCCTTCTGCCAGAAATGTTCCTTACGGGAAGTGAGTGTCATTTGTGCCCTTTCATGGAGCTTGGTTTGGGATCCTTGGGGGTTGCACCCCGAGAACCATTCTGTGGCCAGAGTTAAGAACAGCCACCCCAGTGTCAAAGTGGGGGGCGTCTGCTCAAGGCCGTGCGACGACCCGCAGTGGGAGGTGAGGCAGAGTCATAGGGACAGGAGTGTGGACGGTCCAAGCTCCACCACCTGCCCAACCCTGTTCTCATTGGCAGATTTCCAAGATTGATGTAGAGAGCCCATCCATTCTTAAAACTTGTAAAGGAATCTTGTTTCTCTCTTCTCCAGCATCCAGAGCCGATTGGAGCTTAGGAAGAAACTTAGCTGCAAGCCTTTCAAATGGTACCTTGAAAATGTTTATCCAGAATTAAGGTAAGCCCAGGGACCTGAGGATTTCACTTTGTAAGAGCTTAGGAACGACCAGTGTCAGCGGGGTGGCGAGGCCTCCAGAAGTGGAGTGAAGGTTGTGAGAGCTACATGTCCTCGCCCACAGCTGACCCCCAGCATCCCTGAGAATGTGCTCTCTGAACTGGGGCTTCCTGCCCTCTTTCCTGCTGAGTTACTGTCCCATTCTTCATAGACCTGGAAATAATCCCAAAGTGTCACCTCGCTTAGCTTCTTCCCCAGTGGTAAGATGATAGGGGCTAAGTGACCCAGAGGACTGTTGTCTAACCAGTTCTGTGTGGATCAGGCCGAAGGAGCAGTTCCCAGCCTCCCCGGGTGTGTGTTCTGTGCTATCAGCCCTTGGTCCCTCCCTGCCCAGCAGCTCCCTGTTTTGGCTCCTGTGGCCTCCCCTCCTTGCGCCTCTTATCCTAGTTAGTGTGTGTTGGGAGCAGAGGGCCAGTACTGAGAAGGCAGAGACTGAAGACTGATTCAGCTCATCACTTCCCTCTTTGCTTCTGCTCGTGAGGTGCGGCTGCCCCTCCTTTGGGCACCAACAGTGCCTCGGGCAGCTGCCCATGGTGCCTCTCTGCTCCGGGCTGGTTTGTACCTTGTGTGAAATGGGAATAATAGTGCTGGCACCCTCTTTCCCTCCAGGAGGATTGATGATGGCAGAAATACTCTTCCAAGCCTTCTCTCTACACTGGGCCTTTCATCTTAAATTAATGCAGCTCTGTGTCCTCAGGGAGCCCTGATGCCCTCATCAGAGGACCTGTAGGTCTGCAGGGCTTCAGGGTCCATCTGAGCTTCATCTTCTTAAAGGGATTGCCAAACGGGTTCTGCCTTAATATGGCACCTTCCTTATTCTGAGTATTTCTAGAGCATTTTACAGCGAGTCACATATCTCTAACTCAGAATGCAGGAATCCCCACTGTTATCTTTTGCGCTCACGGCTCCTTCAGAGCCCTTGTTAGGGAGACTTGTTTGAGTTAGGTAATCCGGCCTCGCCTCATCACTGCTGTTCACTTATGTTGCTCTTTGGAACTATTTCCTCTGCTTTTAAAGTAATAAGAGACACCATGCCCCCCTACTCCCCAGGAGGAGGAGGGAAGAGCAGAATGTTCTCCCTTAGTCCCCTCTGTGAGGATGGCGTTCTCTGGAGATTGAGAACAGTGGTGGTCATCAGTAGGAAGCCCCTGGTCACCGTTTCCACCTGGCTGATCAGGAGCCTCACAGCACTTCATAGCCCCATAATGGTGCCCTTTGCTTCATCTTGGCTTGGTGGGTAGTTGCACCCTGGGGTCACCCGTGATTTTGGGTGACGTTGGCCCTGCGCCCCTTCAGACCACATCTGAAGCATTCAGGCCACACCAGTGGGTAAATCTGCTTCCCCGTCCACGAGGGCCGGGGAGACACCAACTGTTTATGTCAGTAATCATGCTGCCACTTACTGAGTGCTTCCTGTGGGCCAGGCTCTGGGCTGAATGCTTAAAATGAAATGTTTTATGTGATACTTGCAGCAGACCTGTTTAGGAGGTACCATGTGGAAGAGGGCACTGAGGTTTAGAGAGAGAGTGTGTCTGAAAGATCCCACAGCTGGCACGTGGCAAAGGCAGGGTCAAATTTGGCTCTGGTCCTAAAGCATGTTGCCCTACCTGTGCTCTCTTGCTTTGTTTGTATCAGGCTCCCCAACTAATCCACCAAGGTTCTCCCGTCTATAAGGTAAAGCTCAAATACTAAGTCTACTGGAAAGTTCCGGGCAACAGGATCTGACCACATTAATTGCTTTCCTAAATGACTTTCAACAGACTGACATTGAAGATAATAGGAGCTTTTCCTTTCCAAAGCAGTTTCCCTGATAGGGAATAGAAAGAATACTTGTCCAACTTAAAATCTTCGATTCTGTTAGAAATCCAGAAACTCGGAGAAATGCTATCTCAGTGCCACAGCCCTGCCTGTGGAGGCCCTCTTCTCATTGTCCCTGCTGCCTCAGATGAAGTCACTGAGCCAAGGGCAGGGCCAAGGGAGCTCTTGGTGCCACGCAATTAGACAGATGATTCTCATGTTGTTTTCCAGGGTTCCCGACCATCAGGATATAGCTTTTGGGGCCTTGCAGCAGGGAACCAACTGCCTGGACACTCTGGGACACTTTGCTGACGGTGTTGTTGGAGTTTATGAGTGCCACAATGCTGGGGGGAACCAGGTATGTGCATGGGGTGAACTTGAGCACCTGGAGGCCCAGAGTCCTGCTGCCGCCTTCCGCTGTGATCCGAGATGTCTGTGAGGAAGGCCTGGCTCCTGCTGGTCACCCTCCTACCAGCCTCAGGATCAAATGGGACGACCCAGATCTTGACTGATGTGTGAAGCCTGTTATCAGCCTCAGGCATCGACGTCCTTTGTCAAGGCACGGTTGCAGGGCTGCAGGCCTTAGTCTTTTGTCCTTATCATCTTCCTGCCCCCTCTGTCCTCCCTGTGGTGTGGGCTCATCCCCGAAGTACTTGTCCTGTGTCTGCGCCTGGTCCCTGAATGTGCTTGTGAACACCTGCCTGTGTGCCCTTCTTCACAGGTGTTTAATCCCAGTCACTGCAGCTACTGCTAAGTCATTGTTGTTCCCTGCGTATTAGATAATAATAGCTTAGATATATAAACTATTAATAATTACTTGCTTGAGTTTGACACACGCACAACCTTTTCCTAGAGGCATAAAAACCCACCACTTTCTGTCATCACTGAAAGGAGAGAGGTAAGTGAAGCCCTGATAGGCCTAACTGTGGCCTGTGGGTTCCAGAAGGTGGTTTTCCCACGAGATAATAATAGGTATTGGTAAAATGTGGGCCTCATACACAAAAAATGTCGGGCAGTGCTGTACTCTTATCTCCTTGAAAATGTGCCTGACTCTCAGAGGGCCTGCAGTTAAAGGAAAAGGCAGTTTAACTCGGTATATCCTGGATTTATTAATCCCAGAACCTTATTTGAATAGGACTCTTTTTAAAAGAGGCTGCCTGCTTTAGTGTGAAGTTGGCTGTCCCAAATCCTCAAGGAGTGTCGAGGCTGATGGCAGTCCCCAGGTACTCTGACTCTGTTGTCCACTCAGTGCTGTCGTTTTTGTACTTGATTGGAATGGCCTGGACATCCTAAATTAGACAAGTGAGGCACAAGGGAGGGAAGGCAGTCCCCTTCCAGCTTCAGGCCGCTGTCCAGGGCTGGCCTGGCACGTGCACGCCGCAGCCAGGCTCCCAGGGTCTCTCCTCTGTCCTTAGAGGACATCCTTTATCTCTCGAGGATGCTTTGGGTGAGCACACATCCAGCCTCTGGGTGCAGCTTGATTTATGAATTTTTAGTATTTAAACCTACGGTATGTGGGCCCCCATTTGTACTCTTGTCCCAGGCCCTCCAGATAGTAGATGCAGGCTTGGGAGGAGGAACCCGTCAGAGGGATGAGGGAGAGAGTGTCTAGGAGGGAAGAGCAGAGGGATTGGAGAGGCAGGCAGTGTTTGTGGGCTCCAGAAAGGAGGAAGGGAAGGTGCTACTCCTGCCAGCAATGTTTCTGTGTCCTTGTCAACCCTTTGGTCTGAGGCACTGAGATTAAATGTGGTTTTAACTGCTGGGAAACCAGGCGGTCTGCGTGACATACTTGGGCTCTCATGTCGCAGGCAGCGATGCAAGGCTGAGGGGTGTTGTTATCATTCTTGTTCTGGTACAGGGTTGACAGCAAAAAGCCATACAGAGACTGTTCCTTCTAGACTAAGCATGAAGATGTTTTTCTGCACAGTTTGGGGCTTCAGTGTGAGGTGGGAAAGCAGTGAGTACAGGGAAAGATCATTTTTATCTGTTTCCGTCCATAACCTTACTGAAAATACTAAAATTTCATCCTCGGAAGAGTGAAGCCTTGTGAAGAAGAACACTTCAGAATTAGATGGATCTAATTCTCCAGAAGCTCAGTTTAATCTACATCAGAAATGCAATGCTTCGGGGTTTGGTAACACAGCGTTAATTCATAAATTTGGAGAATCTTATGGGGGTAGGTGCCGCTTCCCTCTGGTGTGTCTATCACAAAACAGGTGCTAACCTGAGTTACTCACCATCTCTACTCTCAGGTGTTTTATTACTCCAGGTTGGTCTCACCTCCCCCTTTTAATTACTGGGGGTTGCCTCTGTCACATTTGCAATGTTCTGATGATTCAGGGAAGGTTAGAGGGGTCAGCCCTTTATATTTCAGCAGATCTCCTGGGAAGGAGAGGTCTTCCTCTATAGAACATTTAAAATAAGCAGGTGTGCTGACTCTTCCGAAAGGACCCGCCCCACGCCATCATTGCGGCTCAGGCAGCCAGCTTCAGGCTGCCCTGGGCTCTGTTCTTGGCTCAGCATGGCCTCAGGGAACGGACTGCACCTTTTACCTCACAGCTAGTAATAAAAGCCGGTGGCAGCTGGGCAGCAGGCTACCACTGCCTGTGTGGTCACCCCCACCTTCCTCTCAGGAGGAGGGGCAAGTGGCTGTTGCTCTTGCTCCCCAGATCCTGCCCAGAACTTGGTCTCTGAGCCCCTGAGCACTGCTCTCTGCAAGCCCATAGGTAGGCTGACATGGTACATCCTGGCCTGCCCAGCACATTGCCAGTTACTCCTGTGGCCCCCATGTAATTTTTAACAGCCTCCCCTTTAGTCTCAAGGGGACCTTGGTTTGGACAATAAATTATAGTCAACATATTCATAGGCACTGGAGCTCATTGGTGGGGAGCTTCTCTCAGGATGCCCTTTTGGGGAGGAAGTAGATTGGGACAGTGTAGGAGGCCACCCAGAGGGGGCTACTCCCAGCTGTGTACAGAGGTAACAGTGCTGTGTCGTGGCCCAGCCTAGACCATGCCCAGACAGCCTCAGCTCCGTGTCTGCACACTCCAGTGTGCAGCTCAGGGCTGTCGTGAAGATCAGACAGGATTGCACGTGCAGAGCGCTTCACCCCCTCTCTTGTTCTCCTCCTTTTCGTTTTCGCTATCGTGAGACCATTACTCTTCTCACACAGGGGCTTCTCCTTCCTTTTCAGCAAACTTGCTGAGTGCCTACTGTGCCAGGTGCTGTGCTGGGCCCTCAGCATCACAGACGAGGGACACAGCCCTACTTGTCCAGGGGCTCGAGGTCCTCCTCCGCTGGCTACACGCTGCGGTAGACTCAAGGGCTTTTAAAAAATGCTGTGGCTGGGTCAAGTGCCCAGAAAGCCAGATTTAATTTGTTTGCGGTCAGAGAGCATCAGGGTTTTTGAAAGCTCCCAAAGTGGGTGATTCTAAATGAGCAGCTGAGTGGCGAGGGTTTTCTAGCAGGAGAGGACACAGCAGGTAAAAGTGAGGGTGTACAAGGACGTGGTATACTTTCATCTGCATACCTGGGGACACCTTCCTCCGTGGACCAGCTTGAGGCCCGGAGATCACCTTTCTAGATCAGCACTGTCCAATAGTGCTTTCTGTAATGGTGAGAATGTTCTAGATCAGAACCATCCAGTACAGTAGCCACCAGCCACATGGGGCTACTGAGCACCCAAAATGTGGCTAGTGTGACTGAGGATGCGAAGTTTCATTTTATTTAACTTTAATTAATTTAAATAGCCATGTGTGGCTCGTGACCGCCGTGCTAGGGAGTGCGGTCGTGGAGGAGACAGAATGCCAGGGCTCAGGCTGCTGCAGCAGATGCTCTGCCTCGTAAACCTGCCGTGAGTAAGTCTGTCCAAACTGATGGAAAGGGCCACTTTTTTGAATAGTGTGCCACATGGATGAGAAATGAGAGGGTAAGTAACATATCCTAACTGAAAACAGGGCCCTGTGCTCTGGAAGAGTGAGGTTTGTTATCTGGTTTCTGGCTGAGCCTCAGCAGACACACCGGAAATGGGGAAATCAGTGGCTGTGCTTTTTAAGAGTAGCAGCTCAAAAAAGCATTTCTTAAATAATTATGAACTTTATTTTACAAATTCAGATCATTGAAATGCAACAGAAGAACAAAGTGGCAACTAGCTCTTGTTTGAATAACTGAATTGGTTTTTCTGGAATTTACTGTAAAGTCTGCTTTAAAATAATTAAACACACAATAGCAAGAAGGTTCTAGAAACATTCAGACGTGAGCTTTAACTGGGCATCAGCCAACTTCCAACATCTTTCAACAGTTGCTTCCAAGAACAATCTAAACCCCCTCTTCATACAGAGGTGTTACTCCCCTCTACTCTTGCCCGTGCATGGGGTGTCTTTGTGTCATTAATCAAAGGCGGAGTGGGTTTGCTCCCTCCTGCAGCTTCCTTGTCCTGAGTGCCATCCTGACTTCCGGGTGACATTGAGGGTCTGTTCGTGCTTTGGAAGCACCCACTAGAACAGCACCATCATGTAAGGTTGGACTTGACACTCAGGGGCCAGTGTGGGGCTGTTCCTAGAGAACACTCTGCAGAGCTCAGTGCCAAGAGCCACTGATGGGGACAGGTGGGGTCAGGGCTCCATGCTCCTAAATTTGGGCTTTGCTGAGGCCAAGCAGGTTCCAATACTCTCGGACTTTTCAGTGCCTTTAATAGACTATTTGTGAATTTGCAAGAGAGAAACACAGCCCAAATTTAGTGTTTCCCACATTTATTTGACCTGGAACTAACTTTTTGTAGAATTTTTCATGGCATACACTTTGAGAAACACTAATTAAAGGTGAGAAAATTGAAGGCAAGAGAAGTGAGGGGGCCAGCCCAGGTCTGACTCTGCCATAGGAGAGAACACAGCTGCAAACAGGCTGCAGGGGCTTTACCAGTCCCCTGTGCCCTGGCCTTCCAGAGCTGCACTCGCCAGTGGCCAGGTAGGGGTGGGCGTGTAACCTTTAGGTTTTACACCCGAGTAACAGACTGTTCCAAGGTGATTTAAGTACTGCACAGTGAGGCTTCTTCAGATTGTTTATTCCTTCCCTTACTCAGTCTGCCCCAATCTCTGTCCCCTGAAAACAAAAAAAAGAAAAACAATTTCTCCACAGCACTTAATAGTGCCTCAGGTTACATAATACATAATACATCTGTTGGTATGTCATCCGTTCTCCCCTGGAGAGCAAGCTCCTTGAGGGCAGGGCCTTCCCCGTCTGCTTGCTGCCTGTGCCCAGCCCTGTGAGAGCACCTGAGTCATTGCAGGGCGCACTGGGCAGTCACTGGGTGGATGGACGGACAGATGGATGGGTGGACAGATGAGTTGCAGCAGCTTTCCTGTGCATGTTGCAGAAAGGGGCATGGGGCAGAGGTGGGTAGGGTGCCCCTGTGGGATTCTGAGTTGCAAGAAACCTTGCTGCTTCTGGGTCCTGAGGGCTCACTTGGGCACTTATCCCTTTGAAAGGGTCAAGTCCTTGAGTGAAGGTCAGAGCTTCATCTCCTACCCAGAGCAGGTGCCCAGCCTCCCCTTCTGCCTGTGGTCACCTCATCTACCTTCTCCCTTCTCTGGCTTCCTGCCCTTTCCGATCGTCATGTTTACTATTCAGAATAAATGGTTGTGCTCTCAGCCCTGTCTCAGCCCTTAGGCGGGGGGAGGCGTGTGTGTGTGTGTACTTTTTAAGATCATGGGCAAGTTATTTCAACACTGTCTGGTTCTGTTTTCTCATCTGCTAAATGGGAATAATGTAGCCTCATGGGGCTGCTGTATAAAGGGCTTAAAATAGTGCTTGCATAGATCAGGCCCCAGTCAGTGTTAGCTGTGTGCTGTGTGTGTATGAATAAGTAGACCCATTCCTAGGGATCTCACAGAACTTCATGAGCATCAATAGGTCAACTTAATGTTCAATACAGAGGCTACACACTATATATTTTGCTTAAATATGCCATCTGTAATTAGTAATTTTCTCACATTACAATTCACATTCATAAATGCTGTTTCCAAACCACACCTGCACGGGGGCAGTCATTCCAAAATAATGTGGGTGGAAAACTGACCCTGAACTGTCCACCTGGTGGGTAACAAGCTTGAGCTGTAGTGTTTACAGCTCGCAGTTAATGACAGAAAAGTGGGCGTGGCATTCGAATTTACATTTGGGACTAAAATAGTTAATACTGTTGATCTTAGTTACTGCGAATCTCAAAGCACTTTTGCACATCAGTCAGTCAGCGCAGTGCTCAGTTGTGAGGCTCTCCCGACACTGCCAGTTGTGGATTTGGGCTTAGGCAAGCAGCCACAGCTGTGTATCTGGCATGCCTCTGACCTGCGGTGTGTGTTCCAGGAATGGGCCTTGACGAAGGAGAAGTCGGTGAAGCACATGGACTTGTGCCTGACTGTGGTGGACCGGGCGCCTGGCTCACTCATAAAGCTGCAGGGCTGCCGGGAAAACGACAGCAGACAGGTATGGTTCTCAAGCCCCTGAGGCCTGTGCATCGCCGTCCTCGGCATTGATTGCGGGGTGTCCTTCCACATTTATTTGCAGTGCTGTCTGAGTGATGTTCAGCTGCCTGTTGGACTAAGGCTCTTGGTCTCCTCATTGTCCCCAGCATATTGTAGAGTTCCAAGCACGTAGTGGGCATTCAGGGAATTCCCTGTTGGGACAGATGTGAGACAACGATGTTTGTGAGAGGTGTGGTGCATGAGTGCTGCTAAGGCTGGTCTGTCCCACCAGCGCTCGGCTCTGGGCAGCTTTCCTTCTCTCACCTGTCTCCTGTGGGCTGCTTCTGCCGTGGGCTCATCTGTCCTGGGTTAGTTACATCTTTCCATAACCTCTTGATCGATCTGCTCATGTCTGGGCCTTACTCTCGAACTAGACTGAAAAGGCCATATTTTGTGCTTGTATGTTCAGCTCCCACAAATATTTGTGGGGACCTTTTCTGGATTGGGCAGCATCGTAGGGGCTCCCAACACCTACAGGTCATTGCCTCCTCACCATGGCATGTGAGCAGTGCTGGTGGTCCCTTCTTCAGAAGCCTCTTTGTCACCGCCATAACACACAGATTCTTGGACATGGGCCCTGAGAGTGTCTGGTGATGCCAGTGAGCTCCAAGAGACGGGAGGCTGGTGGCTGGTGCGTGTGTCTTAGTGCTGGGCATTATGGCCAGAACCCCATCACTTTCTGCCCCATCAGACCTCCTGTGTGTGGAGGCACAGCCCTCAGGCCCAGGAGCAGGGAGAGACAGCAATCAAGCAGTGTCCTGCGGCCCACAGCTTCTCTGTAGAACCGAAAGCACAGGGCAGGCCCAGCAGGTGGCCAGTCACACCACACTGAGAATGTGGCCCAGGTTCACATGTTCCCCTGGGGTCCACTCGGAAAGATGCCAGCCTGAAGGAGTGAAATTTCTGATTTAAAGCTTTGTTTAAAAAAGCAAAAGTTTATGACTTTATGCATGAGAAGTTAGTGAAACACTGACCTACAAATAAGGACTAGAAAAGAAAATGAGGTCTCCAATACCGTCAGTGAAGGGAGGTGTTCTCATGACTCCTCGCAGTGTGAGGACAGACCCCAGTCCTGAGAGGAGGACCTGCAGAGAGGCCTGTTTTCCTCAAGCCAGAGGTCTGATGCTGCTTATTTCTGATTATATTCTCATTCTCTTCCCCACACCACTGGATATTTTAAAGAAAAATTACATGTTTTTGTTGATTCATTAAATATTTTTCCTTTTTAAATTTACAAAACCTCTAACTGATTATCAAATGGATGAGACCTTATACACACACACAGAAACTCTCTCTCTCTCGTGTACATACTACTTTTTCCAAATAGCTCTGAGTATATTTAATATATTTTTACATTTGAAGCTGGTTCTCTCTGACATACTCTCTGGTGGCAGCTCCAAGGCATACCCTTTCTTGAGCCGTGTGGTAATGGCTAGTGTCAGACAGAAATCAACCACAAAAGGATCTTCCCATGTGCCAGCACATGGAGCACTGACTTATCTTCTTACAGTCCCTCCTTAGGAGATAGGTGGGTATAGGGAAACTGAGGCACAGAGCCCACTGGAGCCAGGAGCCTAAGTGGGCTTCCAGTCCAACAATAATTTCCCAAGGGGAAGCTGAAGCCCAGAGAGTCATTGCCTCCTCTACAGTGTCACTTGGGAGGACCAAGGCCAAGACCAGGTCCCTTGCTTAGATCCCAGTTGTCAGGGAAATGCTGTAAAGGGCCGTCTTTCATCTGTCCATCCCCAGCCCCATGCTGGGTGCCCTCCTCCTTCTCTCTGTGGAACCCAGCCTGGTGTGGCAGTGGGTGCCTCCTCTGCAGGTCTCTGCTCACTGCCAGCTGGCCCCAGATGCTCTTCTGTGTTGATGGTGCAATTTCATGACTGTAATACCCCAGTGAGGAAGAGTGACTGTTAAACAAGGGAGGCCACCATCCCTTGGACCCAGACCACCTGGAATTCTGCAAGTCAGGCATCGGATGAGCCCAGGATCCGGTGGTCCCTGCTCAGCTCAAGAGGCGTTCCCCCCGGGGTGTAGTGGGGTGGGGATGTCTGTGGAGGCGTAAAGGAGTGACAAAGTGATGGCTTTAGCTGGTCTCCACACCTTTCTAAGAAACAACTAGGCATTTAATCTCTGGAGGAGTTAACTTTAGGAAGAGCTTGCTTTATTTTAAAAGTTGATAGGTGCTCCTGCGACCTCACTTCTTAGGAACCATAATGACATCCCGGAAAGGCTCATGTCATGAGATGGAAAAAGGCCTGCAAACAGTGAGCTTTTCTGGATGCGTGGCAGATATAAGTGAAGAGCTATCAGACTGCTAACCCCGAGACTTAGCCCGTGAGAGACATATGGGGACTCTTTCAGGAGCGCCTTGATGTCTCAGAAACATGTCTGCCCCACCACAGTCCTCTCAGACAAATGGGCCAAGCTGCCTTCCAGAGACAGAGCCAGGGTTTGGTTATTTTTTTTTAAGGCCCTCCATTTAGCCAATGCCTTTGACACATGACAGGCAGAGCCCCTCCAGAGAACGGAATCAGATTCCATTCATTCCACATTCTTTGTCAAGCTGATTCCTGGCCACTCAGGGTGACACATGGGTGTTGGCAGGGCATGCACACTTTACATGACAGTGGAGGAAAACAGCATGAGGAATGACTGACAGCAAAGAGGGAGCCAGAAACAAAGGAAGAGATGATGGGCAGGTAGCAATAGCCTCCCCAGTGCTCATCTGATGGCAGGGGTCTCTGTCGTCGAAAGATCCAGTTTAGTCGGCTAGCGTGAATCAGTATCCTAGGGACCTTCTGAGAACATCCTGCAGCCAGCGGTCCTTGTGTAGAAGGTCGGGTCCCAAGGCTCTGGGCTTCTGCCTGCCTTGCTCTGCCTCCTTCCCTGTCTCCTTCATCTGCCCTTTGAGAAGAGGCTCCTTAGCTAATTTTATCTTGAAGCTACACTGTCTTGCCAGTTGGAATATTTAGTTTCCAGGCACATCTGTGTGTTCGTGTTATGTGTGCATTTGCAGAGTCAGGGGGATTTCAAAGGGAGGCAAGAGTAAGAAAATTTAAGTCCACAATATGAGAGCATTTGCAAAAATACTTAGTGGGGCCGCCCCCATGGCCAAGTGGTTAAGTTCGCACGTTCCCCTTTGGCGGCCCAGGGTTTTGCCGGTTCCATTCCTGGGTGTGGACGTGGCACTGCTCATCAAGCCATGCTGAGGCGGCATCCCACATGCCACAACTAGAAGGACCCACAACTAAAAATATACAACTATGTACCAGGGGGCTTTGGGGAGAGAAAGGAAAAATAAAATCTTAAAAAAAAAAAAGAAAAAACTTAGGGAAAGGAGCTTTAGTGCACACAGTGTAAAAAATTAATGAGAATCACTGACTAATAAAGGGATAGCTTTTGGGAGAAAAAGCGTGTTATGTGTTACTTTAAAGAAAAAGAAAACAGACATTAGAGATTTTTACACAGGGATAAACAGGGTAAGAGGCCCTCTGATTCCCTTCATGCTGGGTTGTGGGCTTTGTTTTCTGACTGGGCAGCTTGGAGGTGGGTGGGTTGGTTGGCTGGTCGAGTCTGGCTGGTTGGTTGGTTTGGTTTTAGTGGGGGGATGTGTGCATACTCTAAGAGGAAGATGTTATACTCTGTACTTTACAAGTGGCACGTTCAGAACTCAGCAAATATTGCTTGATTTCTACCGTGCAGAGCACTGGGGGCCTCGAGGATAGCTGAGACAAGTTGCTCACACCCTGGTGGAGAAGATAGACAATATAGAAATAGGTTCTTCAACATGATGTTCTATGCACCCAAACATCTCTTTCCCTCTCATTTGACCTGACACCGCTCATCTGATTCAGCTGCATGTGAGGCCCTAAGTGGAAGTGTTGAGGCGCCCAGACCAGGGCCTCCATGCAGGGCTGCCTTCCAACAGCCCCAGGCAGGACGGGGGCCCTCTTTGAGCTGGCTCAGCTTCCTGTGGCTCCATTCTTGGGGTGAAATATCATCAGATCAGGCCTTCTTGTGAAGGAACGCAAACTCCCTACAGCGAATTCCCTACATCAAGTCTTTGTGTGAATGTGTGAGGAGAGGCAAGTGCACTGGGGCTTGGATGAGGGCCACCCCAAGAAGGGAAGGGAATGGGGCAGGCAAGGTGGTCTCGAGCAGGGCCCAGAGAGGAGGTTTGGAGTTACAGGCTAAGGCAGAGCACACAGGTTTCTTTCCTGGGCCCTTGTACTGATGACTTATCTCGGGGCTGTTGCTATTTACCATCCTTTATGATCACCAAGAAGAAAATTGTTTGTTTCTTTTTAATGCAGCTAGAAGACCCTGAAAATGGATCTGTTCTATACCGTTTTCTTTGGGCTCCTATTATAAGGCATTCTCCTGTCTCTTGCAGAAATGGGAACAGATTGAGGGCAATTCGAAGCTGCGGCACGTGGGCAGCAATCTGTGCCTGGACAGCCGCACAGCCAAGAACGGGGGCTTGAGCGTGGAGGTGTGCAGCCCCGCCCTGTCTCAGCAGTGGAAGTTCTCGCTCAACCTGCAGCAGTAGGAGAGGCTGGAGGCCCATGCCATCCTGTCTCCTATGCCAGTGGGCCAAGTTTGATGATCACGTTCTTGATTATGTTTCTTAAACTTTCCGCGAAACTATATACCTCAGTATTCCATCATGGTCTGAAAGTCGGAGAACTTCTGCAAGGCACGGGGACTTGGCGGACAGAGGCAGCGAGGAAGATGACTACCCTCCTCCTCTCACAGGTGCAGCCAGGCCCCCTTCCCGAGGCCACCGCCGCCCCTCTTCCCTCCCAGCTTCGGCCAGTAACCCCCCAGTGACAGCATGGAGGGCAGAGAAGTGCCGAACACGTACAGGTTCGGGGGAGGGAAAGAGGAGGGATGTAGTTGCTGCATCACAGCCTGGAGAACTCTTTTGAAATCTCCGTTTTTGATCCCATCGGAATCCTGTGTGGTTTCCCCAACACCAACTCGTGTCACTTTGCAGGTTTACGTCGTATCCCTGTCCCTACTCCTCCGCTCCCAACCATCTTCCTAGCACAGACCCGTCTTCCACATGACGTACTTCCTATATTTGAATATGAACTTTTCTATGGTGGGACACTAAATATAAATATATATAAAGAAAGAATGTACGGTCAGTTCCCTATGGTTTCTGTAGGTCATCCGCATCTTGTAAATTCTCCACAAAGCAGGTCGTGGCTGTGAGGAGACAGCCCTGGAGCCCTCTGGGGCCAGCCTCTCCCAGAGGGAGAAAGTAGCCTCCTCTGCCCCCTGGAGCCTTATCAATGAGGTGGTGCTGCTGTGGCCGGTGGGGACCCTCCCATAGCTGGCCCTGGACCGCAGGCCTTGGGCCCAAGCATCTCTGTTCAGCTTCAGCTGGGAAGTCACTGCTGTGTGTTGGAATCCACTTTTCATGTCCTTGGTCCTTGTAAACCTGGATGGGTTACTTATTTTGACAAGTATTGCTTTGGGTCTTTTAAACGTTTTTTTCTCTTAGAAAAAAACACCCAATGACGTAGGAAGCTGTCACAGGCTAGCATTGGGTAATCCTGAGTGTCCTGGTGTGCTGGCAGTACTGTCAGGGTCACCTGGGCCCTGGAATCTGGCCTGCCCACCCTGTCCCTCCCAGGCCGAGGTGACTGCCCCAGGGGCTTTGGGTCAAGAATTAGGAAAGGGGGAAACCAAACACCACCTGTCCAGTGACATTGAGGATTTGGGGCAAGAAACAGGAGCCTTGTGGGTTAGGAAGCAGATGTCAGGATAAACCACAAGACATTTATGAACTAAAAATAATAAGAGGAAGAAGTGTTAGGGCATCTGCTTCAGTGCCCAGGAATGTCTCTGCAGAGCCCTCCTTGCGTTTTCAGTGTCCCCACATGCAATGACAGACATTGTCCTGATCACCACCCTCCTTCCTTGTCCACTCACCCCCTCTCACCCACCCCTCCCACACACGTGCCCAGTGTCAGTCAGGCTGGCCACAGCAGGCAGCCCACGAGCTGCCATGTCGTGGGAGCTGCATCATAACTGCACATCCTCAGGCCCCTTTGGGAGGGGCTGGGAGGGCACAGAGTGAGAAGTGGCCCTGGAAGATTCTGCTAGGTTGACACTCTGCTAACTGCCGCTCTCTTTCCTGCCTCTTTCTTCTAGGAAAGGGAACATTGTTGGTCTTTCTTCCTCCACTGCAGAAGCCCCACCTGTGTTTGCTTTAGGACAATGGGCTTCAGCCTGGAGGCGCGGCTCGGGGCCTGTCCTGTGTCTTCTCTTTTTTTGCCCCCTGGCCAGAGCAGCCAGATGTATTTTCAGGGGGCGGGGAGGCCATGGCTGGATTAACTCAGCACACTTCATCTTCAGAGGCTGATCCTGACTGCAGGTGGGCTCTTGGGATAGTCTTAGGTACCTGTGCCAGGCCGTAGGATACAGGCGAGCAGGAGCCAGGCGCTGTGCTGGTGCCCTCAGCCTGAGCACCTGGGGTCTGTCATCAGACCCTGTCACCTGTGAACTACTACTGCTGTTAGCAAAAAAATCCCATTGACGGAAAACAAATTTTGCTTCGATGTAAAACAAATTTTAATCAGGTTCTTGACGAATCCTTGGCCCACACACCGCTACCCAACCCAGAAGTCTTACCAACCTTTGTACCATCGGGACGGGTCCACCCAGTCCCTTGGGGGCAGCTCCCTGTCCCTGAGCTGGTGGGCGGTGGCCTTGGGTAGTGGGCGTCTTGGGCGTCACAGGGCTCCCTGGAGGTGACCTATGTTTACATGAGACAGTGTGCCAAAGTGACTTACTGTGGCTGCATTATTTTCAGTCATCAGGACTGTCCCACCCTCCTGCTCCCATTTTTACAGGTAAAGACTCTTTCCTACGAGCCCTTTGAGCAGAGTGTGGCCAAGTGAGTTGTCTTCTCTGTGGTGGTCTTTCTTATTCTTCATAAAAGCTAAAATGATGGTATCTGTGAGTATGTTTTGCAAATTCAAGATATAGTTTGGTAATTTTTTTTTCCAGTTGATTTTTAAAAAGAACTGCTGTACAGAGCTTGTACTTTGTCCATTTTATAGATGGAAACCATTCTTGAAATTAACTTAAATAAAGAGAAGATCCTTTATAGATAACTGCTCTGGTGGCGGCGGCCGTCATTCCTGGTCTTTATAGGACAGATGTGAGTGGTGTGTGAGGCTGTGATTATGGTCTGTCTTCTTCGGGGCCCTGCTAAATTACCATTTCTTATCACATTTTTAAAACACATTCACCTTTTACTGTTGTCCCTTTCAGTGTTTAGTCTTATTTGTAATAATAAGCGTTATCATTGGTGGAGTGTGTATGATGTCCCAGGCACCTAGCCAAGCCCTTAAATACATTCCCATTGCCTTCTCGCTGTCTCCTGTGAGATGGCCTAAGGTGCTGTATTTACAGTTGGCTGGGGAAGCCGGTGCTTGAAGCCCTTAACCAGCTCAAGGTCAGGGGCTAATCTGCTCAAGGTCATGCTGCTCCTACGTCCTCATCTGGAGTCCACCCTGGGCGCTCAGACCCAGAGCCTGCACTCCAAACCCGGGTGGGGAGAGGGTGGAGGCCAGATATTTTCACAGTTTCCAAAGTATCTAAAATCAGTATACTTATTTACCAGTTAACAAGTTACCAGTTAACTGACTCTCCAGTTCTGAGGCTGACTTCCCCCTCCTCCACCTTTGAACAGCCCCACAGGTGTGTCAAGGAAACACAACATTGACCAATTCTTCATTTAGCAATTTGGATTGAGGTTGAGGGGAGGAAAGGCTGGCCCTGGTGAGTTTTTTTTTAATGTTATGGAGGCCACATTTATGCATCTTCCTTCCTCATGATTTGAGACAACCAAAAATTTGGCTTTCCTGCCATTTGAGAAACAAACAAAGCTCTTAATGTAGTATTCATCAGAGCCCTTTAGCAATCGTTTGCGGTTCCTGCTTTCGCAATAGGGAAAAGTTTATTCAATAAGAATTTGTCAAGAAACTCTTATGTTGCCCTGACCGTCCTGAAGACCGAGGAGGAGAGGAAACACATCATATTCCAAGAAAAGAGGATAGGCAGAGTGCTCTGCAGACCGAGCGAGGCTCAGTGAGACGAGGCCCGTGGCTCGGGGCAAGTGGCGTCCCAAATGCTCAGGCGGCAGCTTGGGCCCATTCTGGAGGGAGGGGAGCTAAGGAGCTCTGGGCCAGAGCAGAGAGGATGCAATTTGCAAAATTTTTTAGAATAAAATTCTTAACCCAACTCAGCTGTTTGATTCTGCAGTATTTTTCACGTTTTTAAAAATATTCAACCAGAAAAATAAAATCTCTCATACACTCTGTGCATGGACTTACCTAAAAGAAAAAAAGAAAATGGTCTTCCTAGATGTCCTTACAAATTCCTGAGCAAATTTACCATTAATACAATGTATATGTATTTGATTTTATGTGTTATGTCTGCCTGCAAATTGTATACAGTATGTCTCCAGAAGACTTTGTACCCGTAGGTCCCAGAGGAGTAATGAGAGACTCACTCAGCAGCTCCTGTCTGAGCACCTGGGGGCCAGGCCCTGGGTGCTAGACAGGGAGACTGGAGGCTGTAGATAAGACCGTTGTGGTCCTCCCCCCGGTTACACCCAAGAGAGACTCAGACTTTGAACCAGACCTTGGACACAATTATGAGAATAAAGACTGAGTCTCAGAAAGGCGCTGACCGCCTGAAGGTGACGGAAAGAACCCATGGTGGGTCATCATCCAAGGGCCAAGATGTGAGGCCTCAGAGTGACTGATGTAGGCTCAATGAAGAACTTGCAGAAATTAACTGTCCACGTTTCTCTTGAATTGCAGAGAATTCTCTACTGGAGCATTTTCAGTTGCGAATGTCAGAAACCCCAGTTAAATGCAGTTTAAGTTCAAAGACATTTATTACCTCATGTAACAAGAAATCCAAAGGGGACAGGGTTCCAGGTCAATCCTGGGGCTTGACATCGTGAACTAATTGATTTCTGCTGGACCGCCTCCCATCTCCACCCCTCCGGCCAGGGTGCAGGAAGACACTGGTGAAAACGAAGCATGCATCCTCATGCATGTCTTTCCCCTGCCCCCCTTACGGAAGACCTGTCTTTTCCACTTACCACTCCCCCCAAACACACACACACACACAGACTTCTCAGAATTGCCCAGGTGCCTGGGCAGCCGGCCACAGTCACCTCCTAATGCTGTCGTCCTCGGTCATGGAAGTGGGTTCTGCTGGCAAGGACAGGGAGGGGGCAGCTACTTGCTGGGCGACCACAGTGCACCGCATTTGCCATTGCTGAAAGAATGCTGGAAGAGGCTGGATGGGCAGGGGCAGCCTTGAGGCCACAGGGTTCCTGCATCCTCTGAGAGGCGGCGCTCCTGCTTATGCCGTAGTCTTCGGGTGTCTGCTGGCAACTTGGGGCCTCTTCAGAGAAGGCTTTCAAATGAATAAAACATTGCATGGGATTACAGAGACGACTGCTTATACTGAGAAACAGTTATCAAAATATTTATATGTGCTTCTTAATGCATTAAATAATAAGGCCTCATATCTAATTGCTATCATAATTTCAAATAGTGCTAAGCATAAACAGCATTTTGAAAAACCAGCAATAATTAATGTGATGAAAATATCTGTTTTTTTTTATTATTATTGACAAAATTCCCAGTTTATTGGCTACATTCACTTGGAGATTCGTGAAATGACTTTTTTTTTCCCCATCGTTCTGACCCCTTAAATTTGAAGAATCTCAGTGTAGATAACATCTGTGATGTACATCTGTGATCTGGAACCATCTCTGAACTTCAGTAGGTTTGTCTTCTTGCTGCAGGACAAATGGAAAAGGCAAAATGAAGCAGGGGCAGTCCAGTAGGCTGCCCAGGCCTCAAACTGACATTGACTCTGACCTGGGCTCCAACCTTGATTCTGAGGGCAAAGTGGAAAGAGGTCCCCCCTTGATGATGGTCCTGGTGAGCCAAGCTCCCACAGACTCACAGATAGTCACTGAATTTGCATTGATATTGAGAAATAACAGCTGACAGTTGCCCTGGGCAATTGGGCGAGGCTGAGCTGAGGAACAGGTGTGGGGGAGGCACCTTGTTCTCTGAAGGCCCCCACTGGTTGAATCTATGACACTTGGGCTAAGGGGCCTGGGATTTTGCTGACCAACGTCTCTCCATGTTGGAGGGGAAGAAGATTGCCCAATGAGCAAGGAACCAAAATAAAGAAACTTAAGGACTTCCTAGAACTTAAGCACTTCTTATCTTCTTGATAAGAGAGATGGAGGCATGGCCTCATTCAGGAAACTGTCATCTCAGTCCACTTCACCTGGACTGCAGCTCCAGACACCTGGGGACACGTGCTGCCCGCCTGCTTCCGGGACGCTCATCGTGGGCCTGCCAGGATCCACAAGAAGCCTGGAGAAGCCTCAAGACAGGGCTGCAAGAGGGGCGAGCAGGATGGGAAGGTGCCGGACTTGGGGGCAGAATGTGTAAATTATTTGAACTCCACCGTTGGGTGCCATGCAGGACTGAAGTTCAGGGGTAAGGAGTAAGGCTTCAGGGGAAGGGAGTGGGCAAGTGGAAGGAGGTGCCTCGGGTCCCCAATGACACTGGGTGTGATGTGCCAGGCCCTAGAATACATGCCCCACCCTCCAAATCATCTGTACTCTACAGGCTACAAAGATGTTGTTACCCCATTTCACCATTGGGGAAACTGAGGCTCAGGTCAGCTCAGCTATTTGCCCGATTTACTGGCACAGCACTGAGCTAAGCACCCATGCCGTGACCATCCTCTTCCCAGTGCAGCAGGCAATCACGGTGCAAGGGGTCAGAGAGGTTCATGAGGAGCTCGAAGGCCAGTGGAGCTGCGGTGGGACAGGAGGCGATGGAAGGAAGGCAGGCTTTTGAGAGCCAGAGGTGCAGTGCTGTGCTGCTAACAGGAAACCTGGGACTGCAGCTCCCCGGGACTGGGGGAGGAATTGAGAGGGCTCGGGATGGAGCGTGAGTGAAGGTCAGGGCCTCAGGAGTCAGGGAGATGAGGCTTCCATACTGCTTCCTGCCTCTTACCACCTGTGTTGCCTGAGGAAAGTGCTTCAACCTAGTCTGTGAAATGGGGATTTTTGTCAAGATTAGAGGTAAGACAAAAAAACAAATTCATAGACACAGAGAACAGACTGGTGGTTACCAGAGGCAGGGGTGGGGGTGGGGGAAACTGGTGAAGAGGGTCAAAAGGCACAACTTCCAGTTCTAAGTCCTGGTGCTGTAATGTGCAGCATGGTGACTACAGGTGATAACACTGCATTGCAGATTTGGAAGTTGCTAAGAGAGTGGATCTTAAAATTTCTCATCACAAAAAAATTTTTGTAACTATGATGGATGTCAACAAGACTTACGTGGTGATCATTTCACAATAGAAACCTTTATGTTGTACACCCAGAACTAATACAATGTTATATGTCAATTATACCTCAATTAAAAAAAAAAAAAGATTAGAAGCAAGATGTGAATAGCGCCTCCCTCCCAGCCCAGGCTGCCGCACCAAGAGCCCCCAGTTCTCACCGCAGGCCTGTGGGCACATGTGGGCCTACAAAGGGAAGGAGGGCCAGGATGGGGGGCCAAGGAGATTTTTGTTAGAGACACTGAGTTTTCAGCGACAACATGACTGTGTCGGGGGAAGAAAACAAAGACAAGAGTGAGAGGCATTAGGCCTCCAATCGCTCGTCCTAGAGGTGGCGTCAGAAGAGGGAAGACGGACAGCAGAGAGGGAGTGTGAAGACGCAGATCCAAACACAAACTAATGTCACGGCCAGGGCGGGAGAAAACCCCTGGCAAGCAGAGTGAGCCAGCAGAATGCTGCAGGACAGACCAGGGCAACCTGCACCCAGAGTGGAAGTGAGCACAAAGGAAGAAGTTTCTGGATTGGCAACCAGGAAGTGACCCGATGAGAGCAGGGCGTGGGTGAGGAACAAGTGGCCAGGGCAGGTGAGAGGTGAGCTGGAGCTGGAGGAGGGCAGGGGACGTCTGGGAAAAATCTGTGGGCTAGGCTGAGGGTGGGACAGGCAAAGGGCCAGAGAATTCACCAGAACTTTCTGAGCCTGGGGGTCACAGTTGCCTTGAGTATGACAGCCACACCCACCACGCCCCTGCCAGGCCCCAGCCCTGCTTCCACGCTCATTGTATCCTGCATTTTATCACATAAGGGGCTCAGCAGAGGCTACCTCACCGCGGTGCATTTTCCCAGGTGTCAGGCTTAAGTCAGCAGGCCAAGTGACCATCCAGCAGGGTTTACAAAAGGAGAGAAAGGCAAGGAAGGGATGAGTGGACCCCTGACCTTGGGAGAAGCTGGCTGGACACCCCCGGCCTGCCTGCGTGCCCCTCCCTGCCACCAGCACGCAGCTGGGACTCAAGAAGTCTAAGTGCTTTTCGGTTTTAAGGGTTCCCCTCCCCATGGCTGCAGGCCACGAGACAAGGTGAGAACATGGCCAACTCTAGTCAGTGACAACAACAGCTTGAAGGGCTTGGTGGGGAGGGGCAGGACACAACTGCAGAGTGATGTCACTAAACCATGCGGGCCAGTTCTTCGGAGAAGAAAGTGAGGCTTATTATGGGCTGAATTGTGTCCCCCGCAAAGTTCATATGTTTAAGTTAGGACTTCAACATCCTAACCTCATGACCTCAGAATGTATTTGGAGACAGGGTCTTTAAAAAGGTGAGTAAATTAAAATGAGGTCATGTAGGGCCAGCCCCCATGGCCTAGAGGTTAAGTTCAGTGTGCTCTGCTTCGGCAGCCCAGGTTTCCTGGGCACAGACCTACACCACTTATCAGCAGCCATGCTGTGGCAGTGACCCACATACAAAATAGAGGAAAATTGGCAACAGATGTTAGCTCAGGGCAAACCTTCCTCAGCGAAAAAAAAAAAAAAGAAAAAGAAAATGGGGTCATATGGGTGGGCCCTAATCCAAGAGAACTGGGATCCTTATAAGAAGAGGGGATCAGGACACAAACTCAAACAGAGGGAAGACGATGTGAGGACACAGGGAGAAGAGCCATCTACACACCAAGGAGAGAGGCCTCAGGAGAAAACAATTCTGCTGATACCTTGATCTTGGACTTCTAGCCTCCAGAACTGTAAGAAAATAAATTTCCATTGATTGAGCCACGAGTCTGTGGTACTTTGTTTTGGCAGCACTGACAAGCTAATGTAGACTTCGGAACCAGGAAGTGGGGTGCTGTGGTAAAAATACCTAA